CAAATTTACTTTCAACCAAAAGACAAAACAAAGACAAATACTATTTCACAGTGTTAAAGAATACACAGTTTAGCAGAATTGGCAGCAACCAAACAAATTTACTTTCAACCAAAAGACAAAACAAAGACAAATACTATTTCACAGTGTTAAAGAATACACAGTTTAGCAGAATTGGCAGTAACCGAACAAATTTACTTTCAACCAAAAGACAAAACAAAGACAAATACTATTTCACAGTGTTAAAGAATACACAGTTTAGCAGAATTGGCAGCAACCGAACAAATTTACTTTCAACCAAAAGACAAAACAAAGACAAATACTATTTCACAGTGTTAAAGAATACACAGTTTAGCAGAATTGGCAGCAACCGAATAAATTTACTAAGCAATCTAAGTGAAATGGCTAATCTAAGTGAAATTACGAGTAAATTTATCATTAAGTTAAATATGGAAAATCTTAAACTTACCTCGTTGCGTAGAGTATGAACCTCATTCTGCAACGATACTATCATCTCACGTAGAGCGGCAACCTCACCACGTAAAGTTGACACCTCCACACGCCATGCACCATCGTTATCGCGTAGAGTACCGATCTCCTCACGCAAGGCATTGACCTCATCACGTAACTCCCTTGACTCATCCCGTTGAGGTGGAGGTGGAGAACAGGGAGATAGGAGTCGTGGCATCTTTGCCGGTCGCCTATCATGAGGTGATGGTGGAGAAGAGGCTCGATGATGTGACGGGATAGGTGATGGCTCTCGTTCTAGAGGTGTATAGTCGGGTCGATCGGGTGATGGCTCTAGGTGAGGTGATGGCTCTCGAATTGGAGGAAGTGGATGCTGCTCATCATCCGTGCCATCAAAAAAACTCTGACTAGCTTGCCACCAATCAGTGGCAAGCTCTTCCTCCGTGGGTGTCAGTCTTTGTAATGGAATGTTGGCCTCCTAAAATATAAAAACTCAAACAAAGTTAAACGTCTACTATTAATAACTTGTTTATATATTATATGAAAGTATTTGTGTTAACTTACATTATTTATTGTCGCATATGGTATTAAGTCTTCCCAATCCAACAGAGTTTTCCTCTTCCAGGAAATAGCCCTGGGAATATCATTTGACGTTTTTATTGCATATGTACGCATGCTGGGGAAAGCCTCGAATATCCAAATCTACAAACAATATAATAACAAAATTAGTAATTGTTAAATAATTAATTATAATTTTAGAAACATTATATAGAAATTCTTACCTTAAAGGCCCAAACAAAGCCTGACAAAGTGTATTTGGACCCATCGCCCCGCAAACTTTTGCGGTCATCAAAGGCAGACGACAACTTAGTCCAGGTAGCTTTCCATATATACGAACCCCACGGAAACAGATTCCATGCATTCAGGTCCTCTACCAATATTATTAGCTCCCGATGAATAGGTTGTCTGGCCTCTCTGCCTAAAAAGCCGGCATACACAAGTAGTAGAAGGCATACTCGGACAACATCGACGTCATCCATCCGAGTGAAACCAGCTTTCTTATTAAACAATTTCTTCAGGTCGTCGACATGTAGGTTCGGCTTCTCCATTGACTCATCCGGAAAAACCTGGGATAACCATGATAGGCGGGCGATATGACGAGTGTACCGGCCTACATCATCGTGTCCGAATCGTAGACCAGTGATTAAGCAGAACTCCTTCCGCCCAAAACAAGTATACGCTGGTGGAAAATGAAACCATATCTCTTCCTCACCACGTTGTATACTGTCGGGTAGATTTGATGTCATGGTCTGAAGCCACAAATGGGTCAAATTAGCATCTCCACCCGGATGCTGTACTCTCAGCCATGGCCCGAAGCAGGTTTCCTCAAACAATTGTCTTTGAGCAGGTGAAAGCTTCGAAGCAATTGTAGTGGCCAGGCTGACTTTATTTCTCAAGGTCAATTGAGCCGAAAAAAATTTCTACAAAAACAATAAACATACCAAGTTAGATATACCAAAAACTACACTGTGAAGATATACCAAAAACAATAAACATAAAAAGTAGTAGTTTATTCTTGAAACTAAAATTTGCAACACTGTTTTGTCTTTTGGTTGAAATGAAAATCGCAACGAGAGAATCGCAACGCGAAATGACAATCGCAACGAGAGAATCGCAACGCGAAATGAAAATCGCAACGAGAGAATCGCAACGCGAAATGAAAATCGCAATGCGATTTTGGTTTCGTGTTGCGATTCTCTCGTTGCGATTTTCATATCGCGTTGCGATTCTCTCGTTGCGATTTTCATTTCTCTCGTTGCGACAGTCATTCTCTCGTTGCGATTTTCATTTATCTCGTTGCGACTCTTCTGCAAATTGAAACTTGAATGGATTGCATTACTTCAACCAAAAGACAGAACAAAGACAAAGACAAATACTAACTTGAAAATCGCAACGAGAGAATAGCAACGCGAAATGAAAATCGCAACGACAGAATCGTAACGCGAAATGAAATCTAAGTGAAATGGTTAATCTATTATTGAAATGACCAGTAAACTTATCATCAGTTTCAATATGAAAAACCTACAATAATGCAAACATTTCAAAATAAAAATAATTAAAAAAACTAACCCTCGGAGGTTGATTTTCCATTTCTGAATATTGTGAGGGATTTCTGACCGTGAATGGTTGTGAGGGATTTCGCCGGAGATGGGGACGGAAATCTTCGGAGATGGGGACGGATTTCTTCGCCGTAGAGAGTGAGAGATTGAGATGGGACTGAGTTGTGATTTTAGGTTTTAGGTTATGAGTTGCGATTACGGGATTTTGTCTTAATATTCGTTTTTGTAATTTGAAAATAAAATACGCGTAGCGATTATAATGGCGCTTTAAATATCGCGTTGCGATTTACGGATACGCGTTGCGATTTTATGTATTATCGTTGCGATTTACGGATACGCGTTGCGATATACGGATACGCATTGCGATTTACCCATACGCGTTGCGATTTACGGATACACGTTGCGATTTACGGATACGAGTTGCGATTTATGTGTTCGCGTTACGATTTTCAAGAATCGCGTTTGCGATTTTGGAAAATCGCAATGCGAATTTGTACTATCGCATTGCGATTTTCAAGAATCGCGTTGCGATTTTGGAAACTGATTTGCGATTCTGGGGATCGCGTTGCGATTTTGTTGGTCATTTTGGCAAATCCAAAAAAAATTGATTAAAATCGTATATTATAACTTTTTTTTGGTCACTGAGGCGATTTTCTCTTAAAAAAAAAAAACCATAAACAAGCCTCTAAATTCAACAACTTTTTCCAGGTTTGGTTTAATCTCGGTTCATAGGTAAGAATGACAAGCACGTGCATATCGGCATCGGCTTCGTCTCTTCGATTAAGTTCTCCGCTAATCTCTCCAAACAGTCTTGATTCTCATAAGTTTTCTCTTCCTTTGTATCCCCTTCGTCCCAGGTACTTCCTTTTCTTTTTAATTTCATCTTTGAACAGAACCCATGTTTTGTTGTAATGTTAATTTCTTCAGAGAGGGTCCATGATCCTTTTTTTTATGTTTTTGTTTTTACCTAATTGGCTAATGTTTTAAAAGTGTTTTTTATTTCTTTTTCAGGAAATTGAAGAAGCTACTTGGTAATCAAAAGAATGCGATTAGTTCTCAGCCAAAGGCTGTTTACACCGGAGAGTTTTGGGCTCCAGAGACAAGTTCTCGACAGGGAATTTGGTCGATAAGGTAAGAGCTTGTATGGAACTATAACCCTTTTAAAAAATGAAAAGTAAAATTGTTATACATAAAGATTAATGATTTTATTCTATAACTATGCAGGGGTGATTTGCAAGTTCCATCGTCACCTTACTTTCCTGCATATGCACAAGGGCAGGGACCGCCTCCGATGGTGCAATAGAGATTTCAAAGTGTTGTCAGCCAACTTTTTCAATATGTAAGGATTTGGTTTGGTTGTGAATTTTGGCTTTAACAAAACTAGGGTTTTTCTCTTTTCAGCTTCTTATGTTGGGTGTTTATTTCCGTTGTTAGAGAATTATTCGCTGTGGTGGAGCCGTTGATGATGATATGGCTAATATTATTGTAGCTCAGCTTCTCTATCTTGATTCTGTTGATCCTAATAAGGTCTCTTATGTTTCATGTTTGCTCACTCCTGCTCTAAAATACACATCTTTGGAGCCAGTATGCATGTTATTTACGATTCGTGTGTTGTTTTATCTTTGTCAACAGGACATTGTCCTGTATGTCAATTCCCCTGGAGGATCAGTTACAGCCGGTAACGTATCTATCTAATGGGAATCATGTATTTATACTTCCATTGGTTGGTTTCAAATACCAATCTCTGGACAATGTTCATTGACTTGGCTAACCTGTGTGGTTTTGAATATCACCCCCTCCCCCTTTTTAGGTATGGCTGTATTTGACACTACAAGGCATATACGGCCCGATGTCTCGACTGTGTGTGTTGGACTTGCAGCTGGAGATTTGACCTAACTGACTCGTTTTTTTTTAAATTCTCCCGTTCTAACACCCACCCGTTGACCAATATTTTCCGATGTAGCACCCTTTCGGTTGAGGTGGCACAAAGACGCATCCTTGGGGACGCTCTTTACCTGGGTTTATGTAGCACAGGATTATGCTTGATCGGATGTCACGCTGGTATTTCTTTTAATAATAAATATTTTATTTTTATTATTATTATAAATAATTAATATATAACAATACATGTAATATTATAATTTCATACATATGTCCTATAACTACAATAAGATCAAAGCTTATTTTCATCTATTATTCCATCTGATTAATGTCGCGTGGAATGGGTGAATGCCAAAGTTCCTGAAACATATAATACTAAAACCTAAATTCGCTCCACCTTTAACACATTTAAAAAATACATTCGATAATTCTTAAATTATAATCGAAACACTTTACATAATATATTAATTATTTATAATAATAATAAAAATAAAATCTTTATTATTAAAAGAAATACCAGCGTGGCATCTGATTTAGCAGAACCCATATAAAGCGCATCCCCGGAGATACGCCTTTCACACGTGGCATCCGACTTAGCATAAACCCAAGTAAAGCGCTTCCCTGGGGATGCGCCTTTGTGTCACCTCACCCGAAAGGGTGCTACTTCAGGAAATATTGGTCAACGGGTGTTAGAACGGGAGAATTTAAAAAAAAAACGGGTCAATTAGGTCAATCAGCCCTTGCAGCTAGGTATAAATTGATTGATGTAAATTATTTTTGCTCACAGTCCAATTATATTTTTAAATATCGAATATTCAGATAACAATAGTTTTGCAGCTATGCCTGCTTGCTTGGTCTATTAATCAGGGATAATTTATCTTAACTTCGAAACTTATGGTTTTTGATTCATTCTAACAGATGTTGCATCCTTGATGAGTATATTGTTAATATGTGTAATATATGTATTTTTCTTTTGGCTAAATAGGCCGTACTACTTGAATTTATTTGAGATCGAGGAGGTCTAGTGATAGGATTTGTTTTGTTTTGTTTTATTTCTCATGTTCCCCTGCTCGATTGACCTTTTTACATTACGTTTGGCGTCCCAACTTTGTCCTAGAATCTTGATGACCATAATCACACAATCGATTGACTGAAAAAAAGAGTCTTATGCTCTTTATTTAATATTAACCTGATGTTTGGAAGCTTAGAATTGGGTTATAGCGTCACCTATATTAATCATATGACAGGTTAAAGTTTCTAATGCAAGACCATGAGATTGACTTTTGGAAATTTGTAAACCGTTTTTCGTGAAATGCATTTCTAAGAATGAAGATGTTTACGGATGCTACCGAGAATAAGATTTTCTATTTTCATGTGGATTCAATTGTTTTCTTTTAGTAATGGAGATGTTTTATTTTTCCACGAACAGATGGGAGCCTTTCTGCTTAGTGGAGGAACCAAAGGTATATCAAATGCTTGTGTTTTGTATCATTCATAGCTCTGTTGTTTGATGTAATTTCCCCCGGTCTACTAAATGCACTTATCCCGTGTTTTATTTGAAACTCAAGGAAAACGATACAGTTTACCTAATTCAAGGATAATGATGCATCAACCTCTTGGTGGAGCTCAAGGAGGTCAAACTGATATCGACATTCAGGTGTGGTTTTTTTCTCTGTAAACTTCATATGTTATTTTATGGCGTTGGCCAAATCTATCTTCTATGAAGAATATTAGTGCAATGGATAAAATCATATTAATTCCAACTTTAGTCCGTTGCGTTGTCTTCTGAGACTGGCGGCAGCCATCCAAATTGAAAACGGTTTCAAATAATCCGTGATTTATTATTATATTATTTAGTTAAGGTTTGACTAGGGAACAGATAATGTTTACCAGACGTGTTTATGTTGAAATTGACAATTTATTATACATAAAATAACAAACGAGGATGGAGTAATCCTTGTTTGATTAATGTGCCAATTCCACCTCCTAACAAAACTCGATTTTGGATCATCTATTTTGAACGGGTCGATGATCCCAGCTAGTAAATTTGTAGAATTATCTGATCTAAATCATTACGTGTTAGGATATTTTAAATTCTATTCATTTCTAAATCCAATCATTTAGCAATCATTCAGTGTTACTGATTCAAACCATTTCGAATTTGAAAATCTGAAAATCAGAGCCCGATTAATCAAACCAAATTGAGAACCATGTTAATGATTCCGAATCAACACATAATCACAAAGAAATTGACAATAAAAGAGCAAGCATTGAAATCGAAAACCAACATTCCATGGTATAGAAAGCATAATCACACTAAAGAAACCAAACTCCCAATTCAACAGACTCCACATTGCATGCTTCTAATTACATAAAATATTGCGAGAAAGTTGCAAAAATCTAATTAACAAACGACTCACAAGCACAAACTCACGATTGCCAAACAGGAAAGGATGGGTCTATGGTTATTCCATCAACACAAGCATGTCGGCCGATGCCATGATTGGTTCTATCGGAAAAGGGAGATGCCATGGTTTCATCAGAGGATCCGGAATCTCCGGTATATCAACGGCAAACCCGCTGACTTCTTCCACAATGTGCAGCACTGAGTTCAGAGACCACAGCCTATCGGTCAATTCCATCGCCTGAGCTCTCAACACGTTGTTGTCGTTTTCCATTTCGATGTAGCGTTGAGCTGCAATGTTGATCTTCTCGGAGAGAAGACCGTTATCTTTCTGCAATGCGCTCGTTTCGTTCGCCAAATCTTCGAGCTGCTTCTGCTTTCTAACACGAGATCGCCTAGCGGATTCACGGTTAGACAACATTCTTTTCCTTTTCCTCTCGTCAACGTTTGCATATCGAGGATCGGAATCAGAAGAACTCGTCTGCCTTTGAACGGTAGCCATAGGGGAAGGGTTTTCTTTTCAATCGAGAAGAGTATTTAGATTGGAATTTGAGAAATTGAATGATAATTAGGGATTTGAACTTTCAATAGTCAAGATTGATGAGCAAATTCATGAGAAAACGTAGAACCAGTAAAGGAAGACAACCGAAAACGAGTGAAGAATACGGATTCGCCGCATGAGGATTAAGTTCATAGAAAATCTAAAATCATTGAAACGATTTTACAAACCGCAGATCAAACATGAAAATAAACAGAAGAGAAATAACAAAGAAAAAAAATCCTAAATCTAAACCAGATCTGAACGAAAAGGAGAAGGTAAAATGGAGACTGGAAAGGAAGAAGAAAATGAAGAATACTTAGCTGGTTGGTGAAAGGTAATGCGAGGAGAGACCGAAAGTAGACGACACGCTCGCGACCAAAAGCGAAATGAAAGAAGGCTTTTTATCGTAGTGGGAACGGGGTTTTATAGGCAAGGATGGGGGGTTTGGTTGGGTTTGATTTGGTAACTGTGGTTAGGTTAGTTAAAAGGAAATAAATAATAGTAATGGAGGTGGAGGGTGTATTTGGTCTTTTCGACGGATTACTTTTGGAAGCAGTGCGTTCGATGTCACCGCCAACAATGCACATTTAATGCGTTCTTGCTGTCCTCTTCAAAGATTTTTAACCTTATGGATTTTTATTTTATTTACTTTTCAAGTAGTCCAAAAAACGAATGGGATTTTGTATTTGTTTTTGAAGATTTATTATTAATATATGACTTATGTAGAAATAAATGTTGAAATTATAATCAAAATTAATTTTTGATGTTTATATATAATTTTTAATAATACATGTTTAATGTTTTTTATATTATTTTTTTAGGTGTTACTATTAAATATATATTAAATAACACGTGTTACATTTAGATTTTTATAAAAATGTTTTTAAATAATATTTCATATTTAAAAAATATAAACATAATATGTGTTACTTAACGATTTTTTAACAGTAGATATCTAAAAATATAATAAAAAAAAGTTAAATGCCTATTTTTAATAAAAAAAAATTAAATATCAAAAGTTTACTTTAGATGTAATTTTAACACTTATTTTTATATTAAAACTTCATATATTACTATAGAAACTATCATATTATTTATTATGATATTTTTCCTATGGGTAAGCTACCATATCACTAAAGTTTGGGTATCTTCTATCATTAAAGCTTTAAAAAAACATATAAACATTTTTTTAAATAAGTGATTATAAATACTCAATTAATAGTGTCGTTCTCTAATTTTAGGGTTTGACGTGTAACTTTTTTTATTGTGTCGTTTTTATAGGTAACATAATATTTTTTTCTTTAATTTTATTTAGCCTTCGACGGTACTTGTTTTAATGTTAATTGTGAATCAATGGATCTCTTTTTTTTTTTGTTATTTTAAGTTTTTTTAAAATAAAAACAACTCTACTTTTTTTGCACACTTTTCTTTAATTTGTGACATGTTTTCAGTATTATTTATTGTTTGTTTAGTCATTTTTTTTATATTTTATCAAGGTTGGATTTGATGACGCTATGACTGATCAATATGATATTTATAATCATATTAATATTCCTTGCTCTAAACCCTCGTATTGAATTTAAATACGTGATTGTGCATTTATGGATAATTTCTCACGATGTTTGGCTCTAATTTGTAGCTTACGGTGGTCTTTCAATAGTTTAGTCCCATTTTGTGGTTCGTTTGTCGATGCAATCAGATATGTTTATATAGATTTTCATTCGAGTCTTTTGGTTGAACTTTTAACATTTTACATGTATAGTCCTTTTATGATCTAAAGTGAATATTTTGTGTGTGTCAATATTATATGAAAATGTCTAAATTATATATTTAGTTTAAAATGATAATTGTAAATAATAATGTAATTTGGGTAATTTCACTTTTTAATAAAACTAATGACTTCTATTAAAAAACACTAAATATTTTTTCTTTATAGTTGTGGGTTCAATATCAAGTAGGAGTAAACTTATATTTCCCTTCTCTAAATATGAAAAATTTAATATATATATATATATATATAATTATTATTATTATTATTATTTATATTTTGTTTGTAATAAAACAAACACTCAATCATTAAAATTTTTTATATATATTTTTTATAAATTCTAAATCTAATCTTAATAATATCTGAAGGAGAGGGAAAAGATAAACTCTAGAGAAAGAAAAAGTACTCCTAATGAGTCTAGAATCCATAACTGAATGAAGTGTAAGAGAATAAATATAAAAAGCTTTGTCAACTGACCAAACATGTTTATTCATTAAATTTGTTATGTAAATCACAAAAATTTAACCTAATACATTAATTTATTGATTTTTTATGTATTTGTCACATAGATTTAATTTCATTAAAAAGTAATTTTGTTTTTTTACTATTTTATTTATAAAACTTATTTATTAGCATACCAAAAGTCCGTAAGATTGGAGGAAAAAGACAGAAAAAAGAAGAAGTAAAGAAAATAACAGAGGATGACACAAATTGAAGATGCATTGTCATCATTGTTGTCCTCGTATCGTTGGTTCATCTACCTACTTCCGTCCTTCAAAAAAGAAAAAAAAAATCTACCTATTACCGACGTCTGTTCACCTGCCCACCAATATTTGGCTGATTTGGTTCTGAGGTTGTAACCCAAAAACTACACAAAACCAATTAGGCTGTGAGTTTCCCAAGGGTGACACTCGACTTCTTCTGAGTGAAGAATCCAAATTGAATACATGAATTAAGGTCTTAATTGGATACATAACATTAGAGATTAAAATTATTATTATATTAAGTCATAACACTATTTTTGTTAATTTTTTAACTGCATGACTTGATTGACATCAAAATAAAATTTTCATGACCTAATTGATATAGTACTTTATTCAATAATCAGAATAAAATCAATCTCATAATAATAGTGTAAACGATCCTGTAAAGATGAGTTAACTATATATATGAATATAGTAAACATCCTTTATATATATAGTATTGCCCAACCTTGGTGTGTCAGATTATATGAAATAAGATATAGAAAGTATTTTAGAGTAGTAGAAGTGTTTTGAAAGTGGATTTAAATTTAGTTAAAATCTCGAACTCGAAGTTCTTACGTATTTTAAACTTATTAATTTGGAAGTTATGAAACTGTAATTTTAAGTTCTGAATCAAGATGAAAACAAAAAACACAAAAATGAAATTAAAAACATCTTTTGTATTTATTAAAATATTAATATCTTTACTGCAACACTGTGACTGTAGCTTAGGGGTGCGAATTTTACGTTGTGGCTATAGAGACCTGGGCTTGATTCTCAGAGCTACATTATGTAACGTTTTGTTCTTTTTCTTTTTCCACCTCGAGTTTTCTGAGCTGATTGGATATTAGTGAAAATATAAACCGTGATTTTGTCAGTTGTAACCAACGTTAACAATGTGGCTGTAGGTTAGTGTGAGAATTGTACGTTGTGGCCGTAGAGACCTGGGCTCGAATCCCAGCAGTCACAGTTCTTAATGTTTTGTTCCTTTTCTTTTTCACCTCAAGTTTTCTGAGTTGATTTGATACTAGTGAAAGTAGCCACAGTTCTTAATGTTTTGTTCCTTTTCTTTTTCCACCTCAAGTTTTCTGAGTTGACTTGATACTAGTGAAAGTAAAGACAATGACCTAGTCAGTTGTAACCGTTGTCAGTAACGTGGCTGTAGTTTAGTGGTAAGAATTCTACGTGTGGCTGTAAAAACCTGGGCTCCAATCCCAGAAGCCACATATGTCATACTGTGGCTATATTTTAGCTGTTAGAATTTTACGCTAAGGCCGTAGAATCCCGAGGTCGAAATACATAGATGACCGGGAGATCTTTAAAGATTGTTCTTGTTCCTATGTAGTGCTTGAGCATCATTGTGCAATTGATGTGCTACTCATATAACTTTTCTGCAGGAGACACATTCTACTCCGCATCGCATGAACAGACGAGATCTTATTTGTGATACACCAGTTTGACTACAATTCTTTCTTTTGTGGATTGTTTAGCATGCTATCGTAATATGATTTAGCTAATGATTTTGGTGGGAACTTCCAGGCATAATTTCATACCCAGAACCTTATCGGAGTACTGGGATCCTGAAAACGAAGTTATAGTGATGACACTATTCGAAGTACAATGTTGCCGAGGAACGTTCTGCAGAAGATGAACAGGGGTACCTTTTGTTTCTTTTAGAGGCACAGAGGTGCAGTGAAGACGACAGTGAGGTTGCAAGCAGTCACAAAAAATGGACTTGGCAGATCATTAAGAAAATGCAGCCCTGAAGTAAGTGGGATTTGCCTTCTACCTGTTTTCATTATTGTTTGGACAATGTTCTAAACTAAATATCATCTTTTTCAGGTGGCAGAAAAGCTTCAAAGAGGAAGTCTTCCAAAGGAAAGACATTAAGACCTCCGAGGGTTGCTGCAGGTAATGCTCGTAGCTTGATGTCTAGAATCACCGGGACCTCTACAGATGGAGATGAAGTAGACTCAGAAGGTTATTCATCTAATACGGAGTCAGTGTCTCAAGATTCAAGTACTCAGAACAGTGAAACTGAGAGAAAGACTGAAACTGAAGTCCGTAGAAAAGGAATAAGAGTCTGAGGGCATTGTATTGTCTCATGAACACCCCAAATCTCAACCAGATTCTGTGAACAGAGAGATTTTTCTTAACAGAAAGAGGTCTTCAAATGGTTATGTTAAATATAGAATGTATAGGTATTTTTATTCCCAACATAAAATCCACATTCATGGATATGTTTTGTCATGCGGGGAAGAGGGACAGTTAATTACTACTGCATTGCAATGCAAGATCTGGATAGAGTTATGATGGAAGAGTTTGCTTCTGATGAGATGCATAAATCTTTACCGTCCATAGGTGATCGTCCACTAAGGATCATGATTCAGAAACTGTGTTTACCGAAGCAGCAGCTGATGCAAATCACCCAACACAATCCATAAAGAGGAAGGCCGCTTCACAGGAGCAGGATGCTTGGAACTATAACCTGAAGCTAAAAGTAGGTCATGAAGTAGCAGGGATATCGGAAAATGAAGACAATTTATCTTCGAAAGCATACAAAGGTATTGTATCTGAAGAATGAAGTTATTTACGAGGGTGGCTGTAAGTATCGGCACAGTGCTTGGGAGCTGTAATACCCCAACACTCAATAATGGGAACACCCACATTTTGATTCTGAGATCAGGGATAAGATCCTGTATTCTTTTGCTAAATTAGAGCGCCTGGCAGGCAGAGATCAGGTTCTTTCTTACTTCTTACGTCCCTTAAATTCAATGGATTTTGTTTAAATTCAAAGTTAAAGGTAAACGATCGAGTGGGCAAAATAAATGTATTTGGAAAGTTTAATGATAAAATTGAATGTTTTAATCTTAAATAACCAAAAATGAAATATAGATAAAGTTAAGGGATGAAATTTGTAATTTATATCTGACTTTATGTTGCATTTATAAACTGAAAAACCCTAATCGAGCTTCCTACTGATTTTTCAACTAGTTTCTGCTTATCAATTACACTCGTGATTTCCAATGGCGGGAGGGAAGATGAAGAAAGAGGAGAGCACCCTCCAATCACTACCAAGGCGGTGTCACTTTCCACAAATCCAAAGGCCAACACATCCTCAAAAACCCTTTGTTGGTCGACTCTATTGTCCAAAAAAGCCGGCATCAAAACCACCGACACCATCCTCGAGATCGGTCCCGGTACCGGAAACCTTACCAAGAAGCTTCTCGAAGCCGGTAAAAATGTCATCGCCGTCGAAGTTGATCCTCGTATGGTTCTCGAACTTCAACGCCGCTTCCAAGGCACCCCTTTCTCTCATCGCTTAAAGGTATGCTTATTTGTATTAATTTTCAATTTACCTGATGAATTCTGTTGGATTGTATACTATTTACCAAATTCTGAACCCTAGGAGCTTTAATAGTCGATTACCTGATAAATTTGAATGTTTTAGAATTGGGAATTTGACAATGTTGAATAAATTGCCAATGTTGTTTAGGTTATTCAGGGGGATGTGGTGAAGACGGATTTACCGTATTTTGATATTTGCGTGGCGAATATTCCGTATCAAATATCTTCTCCTCTTACGTTCAAGTTACTGTTTCATCAGCCTGCTTTTAGGTGTGCTATTATTATGTTCCAGAGAGAATTTGCCATGCGCCTTGTTGCTCAGCCGGGTGATACTCTTTACTGCCGACTTTCAGTTAATACCCAATTTTATGCTTGGGTTTCCCATCTCCTCAAAGTTGGAAAGAATAAATTCCGGCCTCCGCCAAAGGTTGATTCATCAGTAGTAAGAATCGAGCGAGGAAACTGCGTCCAGAAGTGAATCATAAAGAGTGGGATGGGTTCATAAGAATTTGTTTCATTCGGAAGAATAAAACACTGGGTTCCATTTTCAAGCAGAAAAATGTACTGTCTGTTCTGGATAAGAACTATAAGACTTTGCAGCCGGTGCAGGGCTCACAAAATGCTCCTTTGAGTGGGAATGATGATATCGACATAGCGAGATTTGGGGATCAGAGTATGGAAGTGGAAGATGGATGTTGAATGCGATGAAGCGGAAGGAGAAGAGTTTAAGAATAAGGTTTTAAGTGTGTTGAAGGAAGGGAATTTTGAGGAGCAGAGGGCGTCCAAGCTTTCACAGGAAAACTTTTTAACTTTACTCTCTATGTTCAGCAAGGCTGGTATACACTTCTCTTGATGCAACTGTTCTGTTTTTTTCTTTCGATGGTTTGACCTTGAGCTTCTTCGTTAGGTAATAGGAGCATCCGATTTTGTTTTGGCTTGTTTATTAGCAGAGAATCAATTAACTGATTCATCATTTTCAATGATTTTCTTCCGAGAATGTACCTATTTTGTCTTCTAGAAAGTAATATTGAGCCGATCTATTTGTTACATGCTTTCATGGTCTGCTGTGTCACTATGTTAGTGGCTTATGTCATGAATATCAGAATTCAATAGTATTCATCTTTGTTACCGATATACCACGAGTATTGTGTTTGTGTACGAGTCTATGTCAAACGCGAATTATCCCGAGTATTGGGCACGGATGTGTGTTTCATGAAATTGAGTTTTGCTTATTCTTTTTTTTAAATATATATATATATATATTTAAAGAATATTTGCTGTGGGAAATAAAGAATTCAAGTAAATACTTATCCAGCAGTAGTGATGGCATCCCTTTCATGTAAAAGATAAAGAAAGCCAATGGTACATTTTGAATCCAATTGGCAGGGCAAAGCACCCTTCTAGCGTATTTGGAAATCCAATCACAAGTATTATTTGCAAATCCAGGAATAAAAGAGAAAACTGCACACAAAAGGATTGCAAACAGCATATATATACTTCTCGACGGTCTAGGACTCCCAACAGTTGAGGCCCTTTTTTGGCTTTGGATTTCTCATTTGTATTTTCTGAAAAATGACTTATGATTTGATTTTTATTATTTTCTAAATTTTTTCACTTCAAAAAATAAATACTCAAAATAATATTATTCTATATATTTAATATCAATACAATATTTTAGTATTATTTTAATAAAAATATTAGTTATTAAAATATTCAAAATAGTTTTTATTATTTTTATTAATATAATATTATATTATTGTAATAATATAGTCAATTATATTATAATAATATATGACACTATAATTCTATTTTAATAATATACAATAAATTATTAATAAAATGTATATTATTTATTAATTTCATAAATTAATATTATTAAATTATTAGTAATGAATAATGTTATTCATGTATTTAATATTAATATAATAATTTAATAACATTTTAATAAAAAATTAAAATATGTTTATTAATAATTATTAAAATAATATAATATTCTTACTTTAATAAATAATTATTACAATTTATAATATTTTTAATTTTAATAGAATATACTAGTCTTTGTATTTTTTATTTCAAAAATTATACAATTAATATTTTAATAATAATAATATTAAATTTTTATAAAAAAATAATATTATTTATTGTATTTAATATTTTTAATAAATAATTTATAGAAAATTTACTAACTAGTGAAAAATGATTTACACAACCTATTTCAAACACCGTAATTTTTTTTCTAAAAAATACTTTTTAAAAATTATAATTCATTTTACTAGAAAAAAATTAAAAAAATATTTTTAATGAAACAAACATACCCTATAAATATAATGTTTGACAAATATAAATATCGAATCGATTAATACGAGTTAAAATATTAAACCTTGGTATGGTGTCTTCTCGAAAGAAAAAAAAAATTAAAATAATTTGAGCTGATATTGGGCGTGGGTAAAGATTCCCTGGGCTCAACATGTTGGGTCTATGAGAGCCTAATTCCAATTACTTTTACCTTCTCGGAAATAGTAAGATTGAATGCGTTACAGTCAAAAGAGTTGTCTAGCTGCTGGAATTCCCGCCAAAGAAAACCCCCGACCACAACATTTTCCCGGCAAATCCCGCCATCTTTAACTCTTATGTTCTTCCCTTTTTTTTTACTCCCTTCCGCTTTCAAGACAAAAGTGATCACACTTCACATTTCCAACTTTTCCCCCTCTCGCCTCTCATTTTTATCATTATTCGGGAAAAATGGCGCCGCCGCGTCGGCAGAGCAATGGCAGATCTCCGATCGTTAATCAACAGAGCCAAATCACTTCCTTCTTCACTAGAAAGAACTCTACTTCCCTCTCTCATTCTCCGACTCCCCCTCATCTTGCCAAGCAGACCTCTAAACTCAACCCTAACCCTAAACGTAACCGCAGTCCAAGTACAAGTCCCAGCCCTACAACTCCGTCTCCTTTCGAATCCAGGCTTAAAAAGCCTCTCCTAGTCATTGGACAATCACCTGCCCCGAGTCCTTCGTCGCTGAGCAACAAAACGTTTGGCAATGAAGTGATCGAGAAGAGGCTAAGGGTTCACTGGCCGTTGGATAAGGAATGGTACGAGGGCGTAGTGAAGTCTTTTTGATAAGAACACAGGAAAGCATTTGATTCTGTACGATGATGATGAGGAAGAGGAGCTGGATTTGGGGAAGGAGAAGATTGAGTGGGTTGAAGAAACCGTAGGCAGGTTTAAGCGGTTGCGGCGTGGGGGTTCTTTGGTTTTTAAGAAAGTGGTGATTGAAGATAAGGACGAGGATGTGGCGGAGAATTTGAACGAAAAGAGTGACGATAATGATGACGATTCTAGTGATGAAGATTGGGAGGGAAATTGGAATCTGGTAAGAAGAGTAAGACCAGTGCAAATGCTAGTAGTAAGGAAGAGTTTAAGGTATGGTTGTCTGAACCAGTGAAGAAAATTGAAAGTAAGTAATGAGGATTCTTATGTGCCACTCTTTTTTAGTTGGCTGCCTTCGAAATGGAAAATTAAATAATAAAGTTCCCTTCTTGAGAAATGAATTCCTTTACATTGAAAATTTTGTTATTTATTTTCCTCTAATTGTCACCTCTAAAGGAATTTGTTTTCTTCCTCTTTTTATCAATATTTCTATTTATGTTCTAACTCTATACGTCTTCATTTGTTACTGCTGCTATTTACATTTAAATTTATTCTACTGTGGCTAATGTTAACTAGTAAGTCATTCAAAATATTGGATGTATCGCAGATTATTTTCCTGTCTGTCTTGTTCCTATTTAAATCACCTCAATTGAATGGTTGCATATCTTTGAGTTGTGAATATGAACATTTTTTGCTACAGTTGAGAAGGCATCTAGTGATTTTGACAAGGTTTTGGTAGCTGATGGATTAGAAAGGTTTGGGAAGCGCGAAGCTGAGAAGTTGCACTTCTTTGGACCGTAAGTTCTTTAATTTTGTTCTTTTCATGTTCCTTCATTAACATCGATCCCATAAATATAACTACACCTTGAGGATTTGAAACACGTGGTGGCTTTCTTTATGTAATTAGATTTTACTAATGCAGCGTTCTGTCATCTTTAGCCTAAGTCTAACACTTGCCATTTAAACTATTTGATTACCAATTAAGTAGTAAATGTGAGTTTATGGCATTGCAATGCTGATAATTTATTTGGATATAGAGGCTGATTGTTAGTTCTGATGCAAGTATTTTAATCACATGTAATTTATTTTGTTTTCTATTTTCGTGGTCCTAAAGAAAGGTGCGTAGAGATGCGAATAGGAAGCGTCCTGGAGATGTAAACTACAATCCAAAAACTTTATTCTTGCCTCCTGATTTCTTGAGGAGCCTATCATGCGGCCAAGTAAGGGCATTCAATTGTCAAGTACGCCGAGATTTATTTTTCCTTGGCACTTATAGGTTGACCTCTATTATCATGCAGAGGCAATGGTGGGAATTTAAGTCAAAACATATGGACAAAGTTCTATTTTTCAAGGTATGTCATGATCTACCCTGATTTGTTGTTTTCATTAGTTTTCTGTCATTTGACATTTTGTTGTTAATGTAGATGGGTAAATTTTATGAGCTTTTTGAAATGGATGCACATATAGGGGCAAAAGAACTGAATTTGCAATACATGAAGGTACCTTTCCAAGTTCCTTCAGCTCAAACTGAATCCTTTTATGGATAAACTATTTTTTATTTTTATCTTAAGCCACTGTCATGGCCTGGAGACAACATAGAAAATAAGACAGGAGCTCCATTATAAACTGTAAGCCTTGTCATGATGTTATTTTTTTTAACTATTTCTCTTACTTTACTGCCATTTTTAGGGGGAACAACCTCACTGTGGATTTCCTGAGAGGAACTTCTCTATGAATGTGGAGAACTTAGCTCGGAAGGTTTGTCTGATTTATTTTTATTTCTAGTAGTTCTCATGACGTGCTTTGCTATGATTTCATCTTTTTTAATAAGCATATTCTGCTCAAATGGAAATTTTACTTGACCTTTATTGATTTAACAGGGTTATCGAGTGCTTGTAGTAGAGCAAACAGAAACTCCTGAACAGCTGGAGCTTCGTCGGAAAGAGAAAGGTGCCAAGGATAAGGTGTGCTATACCATTCATGATATTAGAGAAGATCAATTTGATTTTTATTGGTTTTCCATATTTTTACAGTTTCCCCTGATTGGAAATGGAGTGTGTTTTTCTCCATACTTCTTTTTGTGTTGATTAATTACTGTCTATTGTTGCCAAATATTTAATCATCGTGGTCTTAATAGAATTATTAAATGTACAAGTTTTTTTACATGTATGATGCTGAGGATCATTAATAATTCCATCTGGGTTCTGGCTAGGGCATATGATGGCTCATTTCTGTCTTTTCATCTATCTCATATTCATTATTTGTTTTTTAGTATGCTCTTTGGAATTTGTTTCGTATATTTTTTTTCTGTGGGGGTACATTAGGTAAAACTGCTGGAAAAAAGAGAAGTTGGGGTGATATTAAGCTGTATAACTTACTCATTGATATTTTCCAATATGTTTAGGTTGTCAAGCGTGAAATATGTTCTGTGGTTACTAAAGGAACCCTAACTGAAGGTGAAATGCTGTCGGCAAATCCTGACCCTTCTTACCTCTTGGCAGTGACCGAAAGTTGTCAAGGTTCAACAAACCAAAGTGAGAGGGTTTTTGGTGTATGTGCCGTTGATGTTGCAACCAGCAGGATTATTATTGGACAGGTAGGTTTTCTTTCCTTGCATGATAATTGCTTAGTTTTATCCATTCTTTGTTCAGACATGACATTTAGCTTTGTTCCTAGAAATAAAATGTGTGCTATCCTACAAGATCTAAGATTTCTGATTGTCTCCTTTTTCTCCGAAAAAAACTGATATACTCTCTAACTTCCACTTTCCAGTTTGAGGATGATTCTGAGTGCAGTGCTTTGTGTTGTCTATTGGCTGAGCTAAGACCAGTAGAAATTATAAAACCCACTAACCTGCTCAGCCTTGAAACTGAGAGGGCTATGCTGAGACATTTTAGAACTCCCTTAGTGAATGACTTGGTCCCATCTGCAGAATTTTGGGATGCAGACAAAACTATTCATGAAGTCAAAACCATCTACAAGTGTGTTAATGATCAACGAGCTGCTAGATCTATTAATGATGTGGGCGCAGATGCTTCTAATTCTACCAAGGATGATGAGTTGAGCTGCCTGCCAGCTGTCCTTTGCAGTCTACTGAGTGCTGGTGCAAATGGCAGCCTAGCGCTCTCAGCTCTTGGAGGCACTCTTTATTACCTGAAACAGGCCTTTCTAGATGTGACATTGCTTAGATTTGCTAAATTTGAATCACTTCCATCCTCTGGATTCAGTGGTGTTGCTCAAAAGCCTTACATGCTTCTTGATGCTGCTGCCCTTGAGAACCTTGAGATCTTTGAAAACAGCCTAAATGGAGATTCTTCTAGGTATGTGCGCATGCACTAGTAAGTTTTTCTTAATCAGTTTAGTCCAGAGATCCAACCTTATGCTTGGTCGGGTTTTTATGTGTAGGACACTCTATGCTCAATTGAATCACTGTGTAACTGCATTTGGGAAGAGGTTGCTAAGAACATGGCTTGCTAGACCGTTATATCATACTCATTTAATTAAGGAGCGGCAAGATGCTGTAGCAGGCCTAAAGGTGAGTTTTCCATTATAATTGTGATTTATATCTTGGAGAAATTTATTCAAGCAGTCAGTTGAATTTGTCTGAATAATTAATTACTCAATTTCAAGCATTCCATTATTTCTTACTCTGGTTGGTGTTAGGTTTTCATCTAAGTGTGCGTCTCTTTTGCTGAATTTAGCACTGTGTATAATGTTGTCTTTTCTGTTGTTTAGGGGGAAAATCTATCACATGCCCTTGAGTTTCGAAAGGCATTGTCCAGGCTTCCCGACATGGAGAGGCTACTTGCACGTATCTTTGCTAGCAGGTAAATCTTGGATAAAATGCAGCTCATTTGTATGTATTCCTTCATGAGGTATGGGGGATATATTGAGCATTCCTCAATAATTAAATTATACTTGTGTTTAAATGCAGTGAGGCTAATGGAAGAAATGCAAATAAAGTTGTTTTATATGAAGATGCAGCAAAGAAGCTACTCCAGGAATTCGTATCAGCGCTGCGTGGCTGTGAACTAATGGTCCAAGCATGTTCTTCCCTTGGTTTTGTTCTGGAAGATGTGGAATCTACACTGCTTCATCATTTGTTAACCACTGGTAATGTGAACTATGTTTTTTTATATGGTTTCTCAATGATATTAGGCATCTTATGTTGCTAACTCTGCACAGGTAAAGGTCTTCCAAATATCCATTATATTCTAAAGCATTTCAAAGATGCCTTTGATTGGGTTGATGCCAACAATTCTGGACGTATAATACCTCATAAAGGAGTTGATCTGGAATATGACTCGGCATGTGAAAGAGTTGAGGAGATTGAATCTAGTTTGGCAAAACACCTCAAGGAACTGCGGAAGTTACTTGGAGATTCATCCGTAAGTTTGTCAACAAATGCTCGGATGTTACAATGATACAAGTAGTTGTTTACTTGTAATGTTTTACTAAATTTTCTTTGATTTGATATCTTCTGTAGATCACCTATGTCACAGTTGGAAAAGATGCATATCTATTGGAAGTGCCAGAAAGCCTGCGTGGGAGTGTACCTCGAGATTATGAGTTACGTTCATCCAAAAAGGTAATTCGCTGTCACTGTCTCCCTCTTTTTTGATTAAATTCAAGGTATTATTATTCTATTGGTGGTAGATGTCTGTTGTTACAAAGCTATCATGTTGTAAACTACAAAGTATTGATCATATCACTGCATGCAAGCATTTTGCTTGGTCAGATGGATTATGCTTTTCTAACTCGGTTTCAATTTTCAAGTAGTCACTTTATATCTTGACAGAGTTGCTGCAGGTTTGTTATGCTTGTTGTTTACTTGTTATAAGCATTTTGCTATGTATGTTGGCAGAGTTTCACAATAAAGTACTCATAATTATAAGTCGTATTTAAATATCGGTGTTGATCTTACATTTTTACCTCCTGTAACTTTCTAGCATATTAGATTTTATAACCTCTGCTTGAAAGAAATCTTTTTCTGTGATTTATAGGTCGAGATTGGTTGGAAGTTGATCAGTTTAAAGGCACTTTTTGACTTGAGTGTTTTCACTTCCTGCTTGATATGTGCAGGGCTTTTTCCGTTATTGGACTCCATGTATCAAAAAGTTCCTGGGAGAACTCTCGCTAGCTAAATCTGAAAAGGAGACAGCTTTAAAGAACATTCTCCAGAGGTTAATTGTACAATTCTGCGAAGATCACAATAAATGGAGGCAACTAGTTTCAACAACAGCGGGTAGGCCTGATCACTTTTATGCAAAGTGCAAGCTGTACTGAAGCTTGATTTATTTCATTTATTTCATTTTTTTCATGTACCTAGTGATTTGTTGCTTTAAAGTTGTTTAAGTTTTTTTCTTGTTACCTGTGTATCTTGCAAACATCTATGCTTATATTTTAGCTAATAACTTTGATTTAGAGCCAAGACTACATGTAGTTACAGAAATTTTAGAAGACTAATTGTTACAACATAAAGATTTTGGTAGAATACACATTGTTTACTTCGGTTATCTGAACTGGTGGTTTTATTTTGCAGAACTGGATGTACTGTTCAGTCTAGCAATTGCAAGTGATTTTTATGAAGGGCCAACCTGTCGTCCTCGTATCTTGGGCTCTTCATGTTCAAATGAAGTGCCATGCCTTTCTGCAAAAGGTTTAGGACATCCTATTCTTACAAGTGATTTTATAGGCAAAGGTTCATTTGTCCCCAATGACATCACTATTGGTGGTACTGGTCATGCAAGTTTTATCCTTCTTACCGGTCCTAATATGGGTGGAAAGTCGACTCTTCTTCGCCAAGTTTGCTTGGCGACGATTTTGGCCCAAGTAAATATTTTCTTCCTATAAACTGTAGATTTTGTCTCGTGTTCATTGGTCTTCATGCTTGGCTTCTCCCCAGGTCGGAGCTGATGTCCCTGCAGAACATTTTGAACTATCTCCTGTTGACAAAATCTTTGTTCGGATGGGTGCCAAAGATCATATTATGGCAGGACAGAGTACATTTTTAACTGAGCTTTCAGAAACTGCATTAATGCTGGTACTTTATTTAATTCTGATCTATAGCAATCCTCGTCTGTCGGTTTTGTTCTGATTGCAGTAAATATGAGATATTTTGAGGGTTACCAATATGTGAACGTTTTCATACCCACCTGTATTACTTTGAATTTTAAAAAATTACACAATTTCTTTGAAGGGGATTTATTTGAGGTTTCTTCACAACTTTTCTTGTTATCCCTCACATCTTTTGCTTGTTCTCACTGGTAATAGCCTACTAGGCATTGCAATTTCACAATCTACATAAGCACAAACAGTGTTTTATTTATTTCAGTTTTCAAGTATTGAAATCTTGCTCGAGCTTTAAAAAAAACAATAGTAGATTTACTAAATGTTAATTCTAAATTTTTAGTATCTCTGAACATATTCATGATGGTTAATGCAGTCCTCAGCAACTCCACATTCACTTGTGGCATTAGATGAACTTGGACGTGGAACATCAACTTCTGATGGACAAGCCATTGCGTATGTTGTTGCCAATTTATACACCATTGAGTATTTGTTTGATATTTTTTTTGACTTGATCTCAGTTTCCCATTACTCAATCAGGGAATCAGTTCTTGAACATTTTGTACACAAGGTGCAGTGTCGAGGAATGTTTTCAACACACTACCACCGTTTAGCTGTGGACTACCAAAACAATTCCAAGGTGTGTCTGGGATAACATATTTTTTTAAAACTCAAGTTTATTTCATTGTACTTGCAATGAGTGAATCTGTAAAATGCATTGCTCATGTTAATGTTTTTTCAATTTCCTCTTATTGTCCGTTTTTTAACCTCTTCCCAAATTTTACAGGTCTCTCTCTGCCATATGGCATGCCAAATAGGAAATGGAGTTGAAGGTGTTGAAGAAGTTACATTTCTTTACAGGTTGACCTCTGGTGCCTGTCCAAAAAGTTATGGTGTAAATGTTGCTCGGATAGCTGGTAAGGTTCCTTGTAATCTTGGTTCCCTTCTGCTGTGAATCACGTGGACTTCTTTGGCAATGAGGCTTCATTATCTTTAATGGTTGCTTATATATTGTAACGAATAACTAATGTTTACTGTGGGCTGAAACTAACGAAATGAAGGGGATTTTGAAGTCTGAGTGATGTATAATTAGAGTACACAGTAGATTACAGAATCCATGTGGCACATCTCTTGTACTGGAAAAAGATTTAGCTTTTTGTTGCATTTTCTTGAATGTAGCTCATTTTCTCAAATAGAGGTGCATTAGTCAATAACTCCTGTTATTAAGAGCCTTTCAGAAGAGATCTGCGAGCGTACATGATAGATTTTTTGTGATAGTAAGGTATTTCTTCATAATCTGCTGAATGAAAACCCCAGGTGCAAAATTTCAGCTTTGCCTATGATGATGAATATCCCCCGACTGATAATCATTTCAGGGCTTCCTGACTCGGTGCTAAGAACAGCTGCGAGTAAGTCTAGAGAATTCGAGACTGTATACGGGAAACACAGAAGAAAGGGAATGGAAGACAACTTGCCGATGCAAAGATGCCCGGATAAGATAGTGGTAGCTTTGATTCGAGAATTGATAGGCCTAAGCACAAGTGAGGGCACATGTATTAGTTCCTTGATTGAACTTCAACAGAGGGTAAGGATGGTTCTGCATCAACAATGATGGAATCGTTTTTGGATATAGTGATGTGAATATGATTGTGACCGACTAGCGTCTAACATTTTGTAAAGTGTTAGTTTGGTTAGCTGGAAAGGGTGAAATTGGTTGACCAGCATTTTTGTGCACCGGATTTTTCTAATGAGAATTTTATTGACATGATATTTAACTCTTAACATCATTTGCTAGAAGATGCTGCCTTTATGAAATTCGTCGTTGCATTCTCCATATCCCAGATTATAAAGAGGATTTATCATATGAAATCGATGTATGGATGAAAATTTGACTTAATCTCGACGTGTATTTCAAAATAATTGACTCTTGCTCTTTCCTTTATTATATATATATACCCAATCAGCCTCCACTTACCACTCAACCATCAAAATAATTCCCAGTTGTACGACACTTGTTTTTCTTTACTCTCTCAACGTGGGGAACTTCACCTCCAGCACGCTCGGTAATCAATGCTCAATGGAACCTGAGGGAAGTGGAGCTCATTACAATTGGCGAAGGCAGCCGATCTCATGCTCCATGTCATCTCTCCAGTGGAACACTTCAGACGAACTCGCCGAGTGGTCGCCATGCGAGCTGAAGATCTACCGCTGGCTGGTCAAGTTTACGTTTTGGTTCCCTACAAAGGTTGCATTGCAAAGTTACGGATTCGGATATGGCAATAATAGAAGCAGCTTGTAGCGGAAATAAGAGGAGAAAAAGTGGTGGTTCTAGGGTTTTGCCTGATGTGGTGGCGGTTGCGTAGGAAGAGAGCCAAGTTGATCGGGTTTTGCCCATCCTGACATGACTTGTCCATGATTGTTTAAAGTAACAATTACAAGGGAAACACGCGGGAGGGAAATCGAACCTGGGCAAAGGTTGGGGAATGACACGGCTTTTACAACAAGATCAAGCTTCTTATTTGGTTAAATAATGAATTAAACGATATTTAATAGATACTCTATTTGAATTTAATGGAAAAAATTAAAACACACGTTTATAATCTCACTTTCCCCTCTTTTCATAATCTCATCTTCCCAGTCCCGATTATTCTTAAAATAGATTGGGGAATAGTTTGGGGTTTAGGGTTTTATTACCCTCTCATTTTTTTCGAATTCCTTATACCACAACTTCCAATCGATTAAGAAGAGGTGGGTTTTCTTGTTCTCCAAACGATTATTGCCACATTCCTCAAATTATTTCGAATGTGAGTTTATTTTTGTGAATCGAATCAATGTGAATTTCCCTATTTTTAAATGGGTTTTGAAATAATTTGTCTAACATTGTTAGGGTTTGTGCCAATTTCGATTGGATTTTTTTAGATTTTATGAATGAGTTGTTCATAACCCTTGAATATTGTTCTATAGCATAGTTCAAAATGAATTCGTTAGGGCTATTTTGTACTTCGATATATTTTTTGTTTTTACTTAGGTTTGTAGTATGAAACATTGTTGGTAGGTTGTTGAAATCCACATTTTGATGTATGTAGGATAAGAAAATAGATTTATTTTAATAAATAATCTTGTTTGTATGATTTTAGGTTGGTAGAAATTGTCTAATGGACAGGTCCGATTTTGCAACCATCTTTAGTTCTTCTAGACGAAATTTCGTGGATGATGGAGAACAAAAAAAGTGTTATTGTAATAAACTAACTCTTAGAGAAACTTCATGGCGCGATTTAAACCCCGAAAGAAAGTATTATGGTTGCCCAAATTTTTCGGTAAGAAAATTTGATACTTTATCATGTTAGTTGACTTCTAATAAGATATGTATATATAAACTGATAATGAAATTTGATTTTTCTCTTACTGTAGCATGGTTGTAGGTATTTTGAATGGTAAGATGGCATCATGCCTACACGAGCAAACCACTTGCTAATACAATTACGTAATAGTGAACGGAATTTAACGAAGGAGAATACAAGACTTAAAAGACAACTTAGAAGTTGTGGATGTATTTTCACTGGTCAAATCAACAGTATGCCACTAGAAGAGAGTGAAAGTGTTCAAAGTAAAGTGAAAGATAATGAAAGTATGCAATGCGAAGTCAGTAATAATGAATTAAAACGAAAGATTAAGAGCTTGAAGGAAAAATCTAAAGCATCGAAGAAACAAAAAGATTTTTATAGTACAATGTGCATTTGCTCTACGTTGTGTGTCATACTTATCTTTGTGATAATAGTATTTGTAATAGTAATTTAGGGTTTAGGGTTTAAGTAACAGGACAATTATATGTTTATGTATGTCTATTATTCAGTGTTCAAATTTTAAGATTAAGTGTTTGTGTCAAAGATTAAGTGTTTGACAACTACTTATATAGAATGAACTATTAAGTTATTTATCTACACTATATTTTATGTGAATTATACATAATAAGTGCATCCATAATTCGATGTAATTTTGTTTGTATTGTTTCAAAAAAAATCAAGATTGTTTGATTAATTGGACCAATTTTATGTGAAAAATAATTGATTTGTTATGGTAATTAGCGTTGATGTATATCATTCATCTAAAAAAAATTACACCTGTAAAGATACAAAATGATGGATAGTACGATGTTGATTAATTGATAGTGTTTGTGTCATATACAAAATGATGGATAATATCATGTTCATCCATAAATAACATGTTTCATGCAAAAAAATAATTGACAATATTTCTATCCCTTTCTTATCATGCTAACCAAAAACTATTTATAACTGCCAATTGTTTCCCATATCAAGTTAGGCACAAAAAGCAACAAGTTCAAAAAGAACTACTCATTCAAGTCCACAATTTCTATGTTCTTCATCTTCTTTGATGCAACTGATTCTTGAGTACCCATAGGTTCTTCAACTCATTTCCTCTTCTTTGGTACAATTGATCTAGATTGTTACAAACTAATGAATATTAAAACATTCATAAATTATTATTGCTAAAAAATGACATAACATATATGTTCTTATATAAAAAGTCTACTCCTCAGTCCTCAAATTAGTGTAGAGGCTTATCTTATGGTATCTTCTATTTCTTGTTAATCTATCAAAAGCAGTATTAACCTTCTGGTTTTTCTTTTCTTTCCTTGATACATGTGTAGTGTTTGTTACCATTGTACTTGATGACCTCATCGAATCGATGGCATCCCTATTTACTGAATCTTTGGTTGAAAAGGAAGAAAAATGAAATGAGAGGATAAAGGAGGAGAGTGGAGATTTTGAAATATATAAAGCAAAGAGAATATTTTTTAATTTAATTATAATTTTGGCAATTTTTTTTGTTTCAATATACTTTTAAAATTTTAATTTAATTAATATTATTTTAATAATATATTAATAAAATAACATCATACATAAATATTAATAAAATAAATCATGATGATTAAAATAGGATTAGTTCAAAAGTTGAGTGATTAAATTGAAAACTTTTAAAGTATAGTGACTAAACTAGAAGATAAAAAATAGTTGACTGATGAATGGTATAATTTTCTCATTTATGACAACATTAAATAGATGGTCAAGGGTCACATTGAGTTATTTTCTTGAGTTGGAGGGCCAAATTGAGAAGAAAAAATATGATGTTGGCCTGTTTAACATGCCACGTTGGCACAAAGTAACGGAATTGTTGGTCAATGACAGAAAACGTTGGTCAAATGACCACATTGAGTTTTTTTTTTACTTTGGGTGCAAAAAAAATGAAGGGTCACATTGATTTTTTTTTAAAAGTACTTGAGCCTTAGGTACCCTTCTGGCAAAAAAATATAAATAATTTTATATGCATAAAATCTATAATAAATAATAATTTTAACATTTAAATCTATAATATTTTAATCTATAAAAATAAATTAAATATCTATAAAATATTACATAATCCAAAAGATCTATATGATTGAAGAAATGATTATTATTCCTAAAAATTCGGCTATATTACTAAAAGGTATTAAAATTTTTAAATAGGTGGGAGTTATTAGCATAGATGTTGCCATTTATAATCATTGTAAAATTAATAAGAAAATGTCTATAAATTTTCTAAGTTAGTAATCCATATTTTAAGGCTTAGTCATTGCTCACATCGTTATACTCCCTTTTTTTTATATATCGCTCTCTCAAGTTGTAGGGTATTGGTATGGATGATCAATTTTCGTTTAGGCCAACAAGTAGTTTTCAAGCAATCATCCATTTTGGTGGTGAAATTGATTCTAATTAATTAAAAAATAATTCATTACTATATTACTAAGATTAAATGGTTTGATGACAAGATTGAAATCAAATGCTCATGTATTTGAATTTAATCATAATGGTAGAATAAGATGATAACAGAAAATGATTAAAAATATTTTATAAAAATTATGTATACAAATTATTTAAAGTGTTATATAAATCAAATTATAATTTTTATTAGTAAAATAACAATATATTATAAATCCCTAACCGTCTTTTTTCTCTTGTGTCGCTCTTTTTATATTTTTCTATATTACTTGGTCACTTGTCGTTGTCTCTTTCTTTCCTTTTCCCCTTTCCCTTTCTCCTTTTTCTTTCCTATTTCACCATTTTGAGATGTTAAATTCTTATATGAATAATTAAGGATGAGTATTCGGTTGAGTCGGATTCAGTTAAAAGATTTCGAGTTATTTAAGTTGATTAGTCTTTATTTATAATTTAAATTTTATTTTATTTTTTAGTGGAGTCGGGTTTATGAAATTAAAATCGAGTTATTTGAGTTTCTATTTAAATTTAATTGTAAATTTTATTATGTTAAAGTATTAATTGATTCTACTTTAAATGATTTTCTATAATCATAAATGATATACATATATATTTTTCATATACGATATATATATATATATATAATGGAAAGTTGAGGAATTCGACTCAAACTTGAAAATCATTCATATCTACTAATTATTAAAGTTTTCCAGTTATTCGAGTTCTATTTTATAACTCAACTCGAATTTTATTTTTTTTAAACTAAGTCGAGTTTATATACGAGTCGGATCAATTTGAGTTAAGATTTTCCACGTGGATTTAAGTAAAAAAAGATTAATTATTTTAAGTCGAGTCAAATTTTACTCTTCTACCATCAACCGATGTTTACTTGAACATTTAACAAATAAAAATTATACTTTTGTGATTATTTTAGAATATTATATTTAATACACTAGATTTAAAATCGAACACCTAAAAATCTTTTTACTATTCACACGCTAGACACTCTTTTGTCTCTCTATATAAAAAGCTATCTTGATGCATGAAAAATCATGTCAGTTATAAAACTCTTTCAAGCAATGAACCATTTATTCAAGACAAGCCACGATTTGATTAAAACCAACTGAAAGAGGGTTTGATTGGGAGATTCAGCATATTTTACTTACCTTCAAATTCTACTAATATAAACGACGAAACAACATAAAGATAAAGATAGATCACAATTCTCTAAAAATATATGTATTTGTGAATATAAATAATCTTCACTATATGAAAAATATAATTAATTTTTATTGTTTTATCTTGACAAATTCTTATTGGTTACATGCCATAACGTTGACGAAGTTAAGGTGTAGCAGCTTTCATTCCTTTAGCCAACTCCCCCCCGTTGTTTATTGGGTGTTGACATCTTTGTCCTTTTCACTAAATTAATAATGTATTATTATTGCCTTTTTGTCCGACAAATTAAGGAACCACCAATTGTCAACTTCACGTTAACCCCGGCTCCCTTTGTTTTTTTTAAACCAAATAAATCAGAGCCTTTATGTTTAAGATTTAGGATACAGACACCGCCATTTCCCTACTACTACATCCACATCGATATCAGACGTTCGAATACAAACGAATATAAAACTTTATATAAAAACATGATATTTTAAAAAATTATGATGAAAATTAGATATAATAAATTATAAAATTTTAAAAAAACACAAAATTGTATCTTTAATATTTCATTTCTACGGTAGCAATGGTTATTGTGGGTGGCAGCCACACAAGCAGTACATTTTAGAAAACCCTAAATATTAATGGATAAATTTTTTAATAAAACAGCCACGTCATCACAGGGCTAGGGAAAAAGGTAGAGTAACTAAAAAATTTCAATGTGTAAACTTGAATGATTAAAATAAACTTTTTTAAAATTCAACGAGTAAAATAAGAAAGATAAAATTTAAGTTACTAGTTTGTAATTTACCCGTATTTATATCATTCACGGTTTTTTTTAAAAGTATATATATATATATATATATACAACTTTAGAAACTTATCAAATTTCATATAATATAAATATTTCCACAGAGTATTTGGTTTAATAGTAATGATTTGTGTACATTTCAAGTCTATTGACATTATGTTCAGATTAAGATGCCGAAAATCATGCCACTTAAAAGTTTCTCAATGATATGCCTTAAATGAGATAATGATATGCTTTAGATGGGAATTTTATTAAAAAATCAAATAAAATAGAAACACATTATGAAGCAAGATAATTATACCAAATGCTTACTTTGTCTGACTTTTAAAATTATTATTTTACCTTTATAATATATTATATAGATTAAAATTATGCACTATTGGAATGATATCGGTGGTAAGAATTGTTGTTATTCTTTGAAATATTGAGTTTGTTAACAGTTTAAACGTCTAATGTCAAATGATTTAAAATTATCTTTAAACATATACTATCTTATATTTATCCAAGATGAATTAAAAAAATACATATTAAAATCATAAATATATAAACATGCTATATATATTATATTCACTACCAAATTATAATATTACGTTAAAGAGTATTGATAAAAACGAGATAGAAGAGTGTGTTTTTAAAATAATTTGTGATGAATATAAAATAATATATATTTAGAATTTTTTAATGTATTGATAATATATATATATATATAGTTAAAGTTGAAATTTAAAAGAATAATATTTTTTAAAATTTTTATAACTGAAATTATTTAATACGTTTATTTGCACGAATCAACTTACTTAAGCGGTTAAAGGAATCGTTGTTGTTCCTAGAGGTCACATGTTTGAGCACCAGCGGCTGCAGCAGGGTGATTGAATATTCATTGTCAAATAGTTTAGTGTATTTAGAACATATATACGTTTATTTATATACATAATTGAGAGAGAGAAAAACACAGGAAGTTGGAGGGACGGTGGAGGTCTATAAGGTTAATGTAAATCCTCCGTCACGTAACGAATAATCTAAACCATTAATTTGGTTAATATAGTTACGGTTGAACCATTTCTTTGACTTTATATCTACGCCAAACACAGTACCCCACATGTCTCTTATAATCATCCACGCCCAATTCATCTTTTCATATAAAATAAATTAAAATCAACGATGTAGATGAAACAAAAAATAGGTCAGTGCCCTCCAAAAAAAGGGCCAACGACCCCAAAATTTTATTGTCATTCCACTAAATCCACCATAAAATCTTTCACAAGATGGAGCCGTTTAACAAACACCTCCTTCACATTTCTTCATAAAAATGCTTTCTTCTTCATAATCAAACTCACATGAATGAAACTCTAACCCCAAACCTTTTCTTTTTATACAGTGAGAATTTGCTTTTGGAAGATCAAATATGGGTAACTATGTTGCTGCTCTCGCATGCCCTTCATCCGGGACGTCCAGGAGAGTTATCTTATGGGACGGATCGGTGAAGGAGTTTAGTTGCCCGTTGACAGTAGCGGAGCTGATGCTGGAGCATCCGCAACAGGTGGTTGCGGAGTTCCAGGCGGCGGTGAATCAGAAAAAACCGGTTCCGTTGCCGGCGGATTACGAACTCGACGTGAAAAAGGTTTACGTAATGCTACCCGTCAAACGAGGGAAGCCCGCCACGTTGTCGTCGTCGGAAGCTCGTCGTGTGCTGTTGAGTGCAAACTCGGTGTTGAGGTCGAAATCGGTTCTACAGTCATCAAAGTTTCTCCCTCTTTTCGCTAGGATTTGCCCTGCAAATGATGTTCACGAGATGGGACGTAAAATCCCATCGCAGAAGAAGGAAAACGGCGGTGAGATGCATGGAGAAGTTCGATGTTTAACGGAGTTTTTTCCGGTAACGGTGGAAGGTAGGCCGGAGTATTTGATTAGGCAATATTCAGGCAAGGGGTGGAAGCCAAGCTTGGATACTATAAAGGAGAAGCTGGTTGAGAGAAAGGTTAAGGTACCTCATTGGCTGTTTTGAAGCATACAATAAGCGGCTAGCTCTAGGTTTCTGTATTTTTTTTCTTCTTTCCGCCATAGTTAAATCTCTGAAGATCTTGGATACCAAAACTTGTTACTGTTAGGGTAGTCGTCTACATTGTGCAATTATGTTCATATCATTACAGGGAACAACTTTGTTTGATTATCAAATGCTTTGAGCCGGTACGAAGCCATTTTTTTTGGATTAGGAGTAAATTATAAACTTTTAAAATGTTAAAATATAAAAGAAAGTTTATGAATTAATTTATAAATTAATAAATAAAGCTGACTTCATTTAAATTATAATTTAGTAGACTTTGAGTTTGTTTAAATTTTATATTCACTATATATAATTTAAATCCAGTTTTCTAACAGGCATACATATTACTTTCAGTCTTTGGCCTCTAAAAAAATCATTAATAAATATGCATAAAAATTATGTTAGCATTATTTAAGAAATAAAATATACGTATTCCTCTAAACTAAAGATTGACAACAATATATATGACGTCACATGTGTTACAATCATAATTTAAGAAATTATATTATAAAATTCAAAAATATAAATTATAAAATTTGAGGATTCAAAATTATGAAGTGTTTATATGTATATATTCAAAATCTTTCTTAACCATTAATAACACACACTCTACATATTCAACTGCTCAACCCCAAATTTCTAAAAAGAATAACATTCTCTTTTATCATATAAACTATTTTATTAAAAAAATGAAATTAAATAAAATTTAAATAAACATCAAATATATCAATCACAAACATAAATCCAACTCGTCAAGCAAGGACAGACTGAGAGGGTCGAATAAAGGTAGTGTTCACGCTGAAATTTTAAAATTATTATATATTTTAGATTTTTTTAATATATTTTCTATTGAAATTAAATATAAGAAAATGTCACGTATAATAATGTGTTGGCTAAATTCTGTGGCCGGGGATAAAACATTAAATTCTATTGACCGGATTTCGAAAACGCTCTAACACGCACCGGTGCATGTTTAAACTCATTATTCATTGTCTAAATAACCATCAATTAAATGTCGTTTTGACAACAGCTATCTTATTTCGAAATTTCTTAAAAATTACTACTGTTGTTAAGACTTTCGAGTTTCATTCTTTTCATTTTGGCAGTATAGGTATTCTAAAGATGTCCATTAGATTAAAACTATAACTATATAAATTTATACATTTATATTCGCAGATGCATAGTTGACATTGACTTGTCCATTAAATAATTTGTATTCGTAATGGCATTTTAGTTTTCATGCGTATGACTTAAATTATATATTTTTAGATTTATGACATTACGAGTGTAAAGTATTTTATAAAAATAAAAATAAATTATTTTTCACCTTTAAACTTTTCTTTTCGTATTTCATCTTCAATTTTTTTTTATGAAAATAAATCAATTGACAAAAGACATGACACCTTCAAATTCAACTTAAAATATCTAAAATTCTTTGATGCTACATTAAATCACCAAGACTATTACAATTCAAAATCATTTTAAACTCACAAGTATCAAATTACATTTCAAACTCTCTCTCTCTCTCTATATATATATATAACAATTCTTACTTAAAAATTCTTTCTTAGAAGGAGGGTATAAGCTTTTTAATCCGAATGAGTATTGAATCCACAACCTAAGAAAGAAAGAAAATATCAACAAATAACTTATAACCACCTACACTAGATATTGTTATGGGTGTTTAAAGTTTGGTTAAAACTGATTTAACTGATGAACCAAAGTTTTTTTGGTTTGTTAATAGGTCGATTAATTTTAGGTTTAGTCGGTTAACGGTTAATGATTTTTTTTTTAACTTTGGTTATCGGTTAATTCAGTTTGAAATCTGTCGGTTAACCGAATTAACCGAAATTATTAAAAATTTTATTATATTATGTATATTATTTTATATATTAGCGTGTTTAAACTTTGGTTTAACCAAATTAGTTGAAAATATAAAATATTTAATAAATAATATATATTATTTATAAATTTTGGTTAGTTCAATTAACCGACTGATTAACCAAACTTTGCTCGGTTCAATTAATTATTTTAAAAAAATAATTCGGTTCGATTAACGGTAAAAAATATTTTCGATTAATAAAATTTTAGAAGTTCAGTTAGGTCGGTTAACCTAACAGACTGATTAAACACCCTAAATATTGTTGACATAATCATATAAATTTAAAACATTTATATAAAACTAGAATTTCATAATAAATTTAAAATATAGGCCCATTTACATGTTTTTTTTATATAAAAAAAATACTCCAAAGACTTGGTACTATATTTTCACTCGAGGTGTACATTTTTAAGGCTAAATATCATGCGATTGGCCCGATGTTGACAACTGAAATCTTCTAAATGGATAAGAATTATAATTCCCCCAAAACTCAAAAGTAGAAGTTAATGTGACATGTTGGACAAGAATCATTTTCATGTAACACATACTTATCCACTCATCTTTCTCCCCATCCCGGCCTTGCTGTAATTCTCATTGCAATCATGCCCTAAAGTTGATGAAGGGGTTCGCTCTTTTCGTGACCCAATTTTTAGGTGCAAATTTGTTTTTGATTTGTTACAGCTTAGCAGTCATGATTAGGTAGCCATTGTTGCTCATATATCCGTATATTTCAACATTAAAATTCGTTTTTAGATTACAAAATAGATAACATAATTGTCTCTAAAAGAATTTTGGTCATCTCAAATTTTAGTGAATTTAGATTTTATAAACCAAAATTTTCAATATATGATTTGAAATGTTGAATAGGGATTTTTAAAGATATCTGGCAAATAAAAATATTTACTTTAAGTTCAAATCTGAATAGTAATACTCAAATTATTTAAATTTTTAAATAGATTTACATTTTAACCCACATTGAGCCAAACTTCTTGTTATTGCCTTATTGGTAAACAGTACCTTTCTTTCTTTCGTTCGTTAATATGAGATATTTGAGAATTGCACTAGAAAGCATTGGGGTTCGTTGTAATCTGCCTTTCTTTTTTCTTGAAAATGCAAGCAAAGGTTTGAAAAAATTAATATGAAAAGGAGAGGTCGTTAAAGGGAAAAGTGTCGATGTTAGTTTGAAAAAAAAAAAGTGCGATATCATCTAGTTTGGTTACAAGAAGAAGATGTAATTGCACTATCACGTTTTCAGTTTAATCCCTTTATATTTTAAAGTTTAAAGTTAACGTAATAATGAAATTTTATTTCGACCTACTATGAATGATAAAATTATAAGATTATCTATTTAAAATTTCAATGCTATACACCTTGCAGAATCGATCAATTAAAATCATATCTTTTTTAAAAAATAAGGTTAACTACATGGATGATCACTTATGTTTGCATTTTATCAACTCTTAGTCAATGATTTCAAAAAACGTAAAATATAATTACTTCCGTTTTTATTTAATTAAAATATGATCAATTTCGTTTTTATTTAACAAAGACGTGGTCACCCCGAGTTAACTGCGTTAACGGTAGTGAAAATTTTTGCTATAATCACACATTTGGTTATTATTTATATATTCTCTCGATTTAGTCATACTTTTAATAAATTAAAATAAATTTAGTCATTCAATTGAATGATGACACATGTCATGTCACGTAAGGGTGTTCAAGAATACCCGAGCTGATTGACCCGATCCTTCGACCATACTACCCAGTTAAAAAATATCGTGTATTTATAATAAAAATATTCGATTTTCCAGGTCGGGTACCCGACCCACTATTTTTTAGGGTTTTTTGGGTCCTACCTGGGTCACAAAATGCTGGTTAATCGGGTACCTGCCGACCCGATACCTGATTTATTATATATATTATTTTTCATTTTTCATTTTTATTCATAATTTTCAAATTATCACTCTAGCATTCTAAAAATCATAATTTCTTAAATTTTGACACCATAACATTTAAATTCTTAATTTCTTAAATTATTTCACTTTAACATTCTAAATTATTTTTTAAAATATTTATTTTAACTTCAAAGCATTTGAAATTTAATTATATTTCTTTATTTTAATTTTTTAATAAATTTTATTTCGATTATGTAATTTTATTATATATATTATAGATTTTTAAATTTTTAAATTTAAAATTTTTCTATATAATGTTTTTAAAAAATAATTAAAAAATAAATAAAAATTATGAATCGGGTACCTGTGACCCGAATTATATAGAATATAATTTTATATATATTAACTTAAAATATTTTTACACTAACTTATTAAATATATTTTATTATTAACTTAATTTAAAAATATTTTATTTTTATTTTCATTTAAAAATATATAATTTATTAAAAGTATGACTAAATTGAGAGAATATATAAATAACATGGACCAAATGTGTGATTATATTAAAATATTAAACTGTTGTTAACGACAGTTAAATCGGGGTGACCACATCTTAATTAAATAAAAACGAAAGTGAATATATCTCATGTATTTTTAAAATCAGTGGCCAAAAGTAGACAAAACACTTAACATAAGTGATCATCTATGTAGTTAACCCAAAAAAATAATATTTAATTTTATTACTGAAATCACTCAATAAATTTACCCTGTATAAACCCTAATTACATTGCAATAGAGATTATTAAATATCAGTAGAGGAACAAGAATATAGTGCAAAACAGTGAGACTTAAGAATATCATGTATGAATCAATGAATGTGTTATTTAGACATTTTAACCGAAGGTTGTTTTATTACTCTACTTCAAGTTCAAGTAATACGGTGTTGTGTAATTATATATGGTAGTTTACATGCACCAACTAATTTATATAAACAATATTAGCGTCACTGTAGTCTAAATTAATCTTTATTTTAAGAAGGTAACAAAAATTAAATTAACTAAAAATGTAAAAGTTGTTTTTTTATAATACCTTATTTTTAAAAATTCTTCCATTGACCATGACCGTTCCACCGTCAGATATGGGTTGAAAATTGAAGGTCCTGTCTAGCGTACTGCATCTGCCCTCTGTTCAAAGCCAAGCTATAGGCCACTCGCATCACATAATGTTAACTACTTCTGTAAAAGATAAAATATCTGACCATAAATGTATCCCTGCTCAAATAGCTTTTTTTATATTGGAAAAATGTTATGCACTTTTATGGGCCAATATTTATTATGATATATAATTTTATACATTGTTAATAAATTAAACTCTTCGAATATATCAGAACTAATATATATATAATATGTCACCTAGCTAGATTTTTATTTAATTATTTTAATATTTTGAGCTGTTAAAGAACAATTGATGTGAACATGTAATGATCAAAGTTAGTTTCGTTGAATCACTATGTCCATTCTCAGCTAACTTCACCCATATAAATACTATTCGTTATTCTTGTTCACCTTCGAACCATCACAACAACATATCTACATTGCTTCTTCTTCTTCAGCACCCATGGCCTTACCATCCCAAATCCTTGCTCTCTTCCTTATCCTCCTCCTGGGTGCTTCCTCAGAAGCCCGTGACGCGTTCGCTTGCGACCCCAAAGACTCAAAGACATTGAGCTTGCCGTTTTGCAAGGTTTCGATGCCGATACCTGCTAGGGTGAAGGACCTGCTCGGAAGGTTGACGTTGCAAGAGAAGGTTAGGTTGCTGGTGAACAATGCTATAGCCGTTCCTCGGATGGGGATCAAAGGGTACGAATGGTGGTCCGAGGCTCTTCACGGTGTCTCCAATGTGGGACCCGGAACCAAGTTCGGTGGGGCCTTCCCTGGGGCCACCAGCTTCCCTCAAGTAATCACAACCGCTGCTTCTTTCAATGCCACATTATGGGAAGCCATCGGACGGGTAACATTCTTCTCTTTACCCGCTTTACGATAGCATTGGTTGGTGTTTCGATGGGACAATATGTATAAAGTCTAACGTAAAGTTTGTGCACCGATGCCGCAGGTTGTGTCAGATGAGGCAAGGGCGATGTACAACGGGGGAACGGCTGGTCTAACATACTGGAGTCCAAATGTAAATATTTTCAGGGACCCACGATGGGGCCGGGGACAGGAGACTCCTGGTGAAGATCCGGTGGTGGCCGGAACATATGCGGCGAGCTATGTGAAGGGTTTACAGGGAACTAACGGTGACCGCTTGAAGGTGGCAGCTTGTTGTAAGCATTTTACGGCGTATGATCTCGATAACTGGAATGGAGTAGATAGGTTCCATTTTAATGCCAAGGTTAGATCATCCCTCAACATAAATTTCTATATTCATTAATCCTGTTCTTACGGGGTTTCACATATTTGATCAGGTAAGTAAACAGGACATCGAGGACACATTCAATGTACCATTTAAAATGTGTGTACAAGACGGAAATGTCGCCAGCGTTATGTGCTCTTACAACCAAGTCAATGGTGTCCCGACCTGTGCCGACCCTAATCTCCTGAAGAACACCGTACGAGGTCAATGGAAACTCAACGGGTAAGATCAAAGATCACACAACTGTTTCTCTGTTGATCATCATTGGATTCGTTATCTATTTGTCGATAACCGTTGGATGTTGGTCGCCGTAGGTACATTGTTTCGGATTGTGATTCGGTTGGGGTGTTTTATAATACGCAACATTACACATCAACACCTGAAGAAGCAGCCGCAGATGCCATTAAAGCAGGTTTGGACTTGGACTGTGGGCCCTTCTTGGCGCAATACACTGGAAATGCAGTAACAAGAGGATTGTTAAATGAGGCTGAGGTTAACAGTGCCTTGGCAAACACGCTAGCAGTCCAAATGAGACTCGGAATGTTCGACGGCGAGCCATCTGCTCAACCATTTGGGAACTTGGGCCCGAAAGATTTATGCACCCCTGCTCACCAACAGCTTGCTCTTGAAGCTGCAAGACAAGGCATTGTCCTGCTGAAAAATCGTAATCCTTCGTTGCCTTTATCCCACTTACTTCACCGCACCGTCGCTGTCATCGGACCTAACTCCAATGCCACCATTACCATGATTGGAAACTATGCTGGTAAACTTTAATAACAATTATATTTCTCTATTGGTGAATGGGTGTTAAAGGGCTTGCCTTATAAACAATTTTGTTCTTGTTCGAACATTAGGTGTTGCATGTGGATATACGTCTCCCTTGCAAGGGATCGGCAATTACGCAAAGACGATTCACCGAATGGGATGTGCCGACGTAGCTTGCACAGATGACAAGTTATTTAGTGGGGCGATAAATGCTGCTCGTCAAGCAGATGTGACGGTTCTAGTAATGGGACTCGATCAGTCGATCGAGGCGGAGTTCAAAGACAGAACAGGGTTGCTTTTGCCTGGTCGCCAACAGGAACTTGTTTCTAAAGTGGCAATGGCGTCCAAGGGTCCAACCATACTAGTATTGATGTCTGGTGGTCCCATTGATGTGTCTTTTGCTGAGAATGACGCACGTATAAGTGCCATTTTGTGGGCTGGCTACCCTGGCCAAGCTGGAGGTGCCGCCATTGCTGATGTGTTGTATGGAACAACCAATCCAGAGGGCAAGCTGCCTATGACATGGTACCCACAAGGTTATGTCTCGAATTTGCTGATGACAGACATGACCATGCGTTCGACCCCAAATCGAAACTACCCCGGAAGAACATATAGATTCTACAAAGGTCCGGTAGTGTACCCATTTGGTCACGGATTAAGTTACACCAACTTTGTTCATACCATCGCTAGTGCACCCACTATTGTCTCCGTCTCTATTGATGGCCACCGTCATTCAGGAAACATAACCATTTCAGGGAAGTGGATAAAAGTAAATCATGCAAAATGCAACAAGCTCTCCGTAGGGCTTCAAGTAGATGTGAAAAATACGGGTTCCATGGACGGTACTAACACTATGCTCATATTTTGGACGCCACCGGCCGGGCATTGGGCTCCGCATAAGCAGCTTGTGGCCTTTGCGAAAGTGCATGTTCCAGCAGGGTCTCAAGAACGAGTGGGAATCAACATCCATGTGTGCAAGTTTCTGAGTGTCGTGGACCGTTCCGGTGTTCGAAGAATTCCGATCGGTGTACACGATCTCCATATCGGTGGCGTTAAGCATTCGTTATCCATTCAGGCTGCAACTTTAGGGGTTATCAAAACCTAGGCAGGCATGCGATTTCTAAGTAAGGCCATATTCAAACCTTAAAAAGAAACTTCAAAGTGTTCAAATTACTTCCATTATAGTTGAAGATTAATATTGGTCCATGGGAAACATGAGATGCTAAAGGAATAGATTTTTTTTCTCTATGAAAATAAGCTAATATTGTGAATGGAGAGATTTTGTGTGAATTTAGATGTAAGAGAAAGAAGGGTACATACACCCAAATAAAAATGGGTTATTCATTGTTTCTACTATTATATTTACTTTCTTATCATAATCGCCAGTTCTCCCACATCATACCGGCCATCAATTACAGATCCACTAAACACGTGCGTTCCTCCGTTGCCTCTCCGGTTTCTGCAGTGCTTTCCACCGATGAGAGCAAAAAGTAGAGTGGCCTCGAATTCCATTATCTGAAAAGAGAGAGAATCAAAAGGACAAAAACCATTGCTTGGCTTAAAACAAAGCATTGGATTGCTTAAAATAAGGCATTGTTTGTGGTTCCTATGAAGCTATAATCTAACCTTGAATTTGCATGTCTTTGTGTTTTTTTCTTATCAATGGATAAGAGGATTTTTGGGAGTTCTCACGTCATGAACTTGCACCCATGAGCACAAACATGTCTAGAAAAGAGGAGTCTGCCATTTTAACCAAATTCCATTTTTTTCAATTAGGGTAAATTAAACCTAGTAGTCACTAAACTTTTAGGGGAAAAATTATTTTAATCATAAAATTGAAACACTTTCATTGAAATTATTGTTGTTAAAAAAACTTTCATTTCAATTATTAGACCATTAAATCATTAATGATAATTAATGTGATATGTTAAAAATTCTAAAATAATCTGACAATTGTCACACATCCTTCATTATTGATTCTCTCATCATTAAGTGATTTCTCCAATTGAAAAGAAATTGAATTACTTTTCTTCTTCTTCTTTATATCGGTTCAAACTCTTCTTAAAACCTTCTAATCTTTTCAAATTTTAATTGAAACATAGAATTAAATTCCTTTATCTATCATTATCTATTATCATATCAACTTTAAATCGAACTATGCTAATCTTTGAGCCAAACAAAACCTTCCCAGGGATGAGCGTTCGATCGAGTTGAGTTAAGTCAAGTTTTGCTCACCCCTGAACATTTCCATTGTTTGGTTTAACCGATAATTACTCCATTCGTTGGAGCCTATGAGGCGGCTTCCAATTTGAAATCTTACGCTTTATTTGGGAGGAAGACTTTAATATATCAATTCAAGTTTGCAGATGAATTACAAAAAATAGAAATTTTAATTGAAATTTTAAAAGTTTAGCGATTAAAGTGAAAGTGTCTTAAAAATTTAGCAACCATCTTTATGTTTTACCCTTTTAATTAATCCAAACCAATTGTTTCTGCGATTTGATTTTTCATTAGTTATGTTGGTTATAGCTATCACGAAAACTTCATATTGAATTTGAACTTACAAAATTTCCATCACTTTCATCTTTTTTTTTGAAGTGTAAATCTCATTTAAATGCTAATGACACCATTTATTACAAATTATTTGATACATTCTCGTTCATCCATATAAAACCAAAGTGCATTAATTTTCTACAAAGTTAAATTGACAAGGGCATGGGTCATTCGATTCGCCTCTCGGTTGACGTAACGCACCTTAATGGATGATGCTTTTCCAAGAATTCTCTAACCTCGTTAAACAACAATCTAATTACAGAAATATCTTTAGTCGGATTTGTCAGACGATTCACAACGAAGATTGCATCTCTTTCAACAATTACCCGCTTCTACCCATTTTCCTTAGCAAATTTCAACCCCTCTTTAAAAGTTGTAGCCTCCGTAGACTCGACAGAATGGACACCATCAAGCTTTCGTGCAACGTCTCCAACAACAAGACTATGGTGATCACGTGCAACCATTCCGATAACAGTTACCATGAAATGTGGGTTAAATGTCCCGTTGATGTTAATCTTGAGCTCCCCTGTAATCGGTTTTGTCCTTTTTTTTCCCCGGCGATTCCATGTTGAAAACCCGAACATAAGATTTTTAGGTAGCTTCCTTAAAGGCTTAAACTCACATCCGAGTTATATACGTGGATTTCCTCTAAATATCTTGTAAGGTAGCATTAACCAGTCTGGTGAGTTGGTGGGGCTCCTCACGAGTCACGGCTATCAACCCTCCTTTTAGCTTTTATAAATTTTACTTAGAGAAGGTCAGTCCCATAATAAAGTTTGTGCTGCTCATGAGTCACTTTAACGATATTAATTAGAGAATATACTCGAAAAAAATTAAATAAAGTTTGGTATATTTGTTTATTTTATTAATTTTGGGTGATTACAAGTAATAGTGTCTATTTTGAAAATTCTCAATCATTTGACAATAAACACCTCATTATTTTGCAATCATCGAATTTCGAACCTATGACTTCTATAAATAATAATCATCCCTTTAACTATTGAGATCACTTGAATCATATTTATTTTTTTCCTTAAAAAATGCAGATATTAAAATTTTTATAGATAGACATTAATTCGAAATATAATATGATACATAAATTTTTTAATTGAAGAGAATCTTAACAAACTAAGCTAGCAAATAAGAGACATAGGAGGGTGGCGAGCTTCCTGGTCCACTTGAAGAGCAACGCCGGCTGGAGCTAAGTCAAAGAAGGCTATATCAGGCAAGCCCAGAGGAGCCATGTTTGCGAGGCAGTCTGCAACTGAATTTGTAATACGAGGAATCCATCAGACATGAGTTTTCCACTGGCGATTTCACATGGATACAATACCTCTGATTAACGAAATAGGGTGGTTTCAGGTTTGTAGCATCAGACGAGTTAAGAGGCTTTGAGGCTTGCGCGCTATCCGTCTGGATTTCCAACAGATCAACACCATGACTCCATACAACACAAAGCCCTTCATATATAGTTCCGTCTGAATTTTGATTTGATGTAAGAATGTAAAATTTTGATATTTGTTTTCAGACGAGTTTAGAGGGGCGGACAAGGGGCATGCCCCCAAATTGGTAAATTCTTGTTTAAGCTCCTCTGAAATTTATAAAAGCATAAGTCAGTACATAGTAGAATTATAATTCCCCAAAAAATTGATAAAACTGTGACTAACTTTTCTAAAATATATACAATTAGAAGCCAACACAGAGGTAAAATTATATTTGACTCTCATGAAATTTTATTTGTACCCTTGAAGAAAAATTTTATGGCTTCACCCTTGTGTTGTACAAATATACACATTAAACTTTCACTTTAGTTCAATTGCATACATTTTAAAAAATAAATACATCCATCTATATTTATATTAAATTAATATAATTGTTTTTTTTTTTTGCAATATGTAATCATAAAACCATACACTATGTTGATAATTCTGATAGTAATGTGTGAAACCCAAATCAAATCGATTTTTTCCTTGCATAAATTAAATTGCATAAAATGGCTCACGGATTATATTGCACATCTAACAAATGTTCATGTATAGTTTTGAGATTAGGAAATTTTATGAGAACAATATTCATTTTAAAATTATTTATGTAAATAACATTAGAAAAATACCCATTTTGTAGGGTATGCCTTTGTTGACATGGCAGGGATTTCAAAGGCAGCTTCCAACATAGCGTTTAGGATCAAAATGAAAGAAATGAAAATATAGATTAAAAAGTTAAAAAAATGTACTAATTTTATCAGAAAAAAGGTAAAACATATGCGATAAAGGTCGAAGACATATAATTGTACGAGCACGAACACGAGCCAACTGGATGTTGTATACAATACAATAAGTTTTGAGTTTGATGAGATCTATATCACTAATTAGACTATATTTCTATTGGAATATAAAGGAACAACAACCAACTTTAAATATAGAAGCTGCTGTTGGTGGTGGAGGAGAAAGCAATGGAAGTTGTGGAGGCCCTGAATTCGGAGCAGATAAGAGGGTCCCGAGACCTTGTGTACAACCTGGAATTTCTTAGCTGTACAAGAGGTGCATGTCATGTATTATGAGAGGGACCAAACCCTTTTACTACAAGACCTTGACTTGTCCTCCACTGGGTCCTATGGTCCCATGCTTATAGGAACATGAAACGGCAGCACCAACGGTAAAAGCAAACTCGTTGTAGGACCTTTGTTTTCCCTTGACTTATTACCGATATGGTTGAGACGGAAGCCAAAGAATGTGGGGAGGAAGAAGATTGCAGGAGCTGTCGTTTGTAGGGGCGAATGACAGTTAAAGTAGGAGATGGATAAGTGGCCCTTTAAGACAAACACATGTGCCACATCTCCATCTGCATTCATTCATCAACGTGGGTGAAATTAAAACAAGATCAAGAAAGAAAGAAAAAAAGAGCATGATTATTGATTTCTTGTGGATTAGCATACAAGAGTGACTCTTTTTGTACATCCTGTTTTCCTCTAATTTTGTGACCTTAAATGGACCGTTGACGTGTTGAAATGTTAAAGACGATGCATGGGATTCGGTGGTGAAAAGCACTCCAAATTATATTAAAAAGGTTGAGGATTTCCAATGTGATAAAAAATTAACAACACACTCTCTTTACCTCAAGGCCCAGTTTGTTACCGTCTTATCCTTTTCCCCTTGTAGTTAAACCCGTGATGCTTCACCGGCTCCATACCGTCAGATTCATGCATTCACCGGATATATCAGTTGATTCGATTAAATTTTTTTAAAAATAAACTTATCAACATCTTAATAAAATATAATGATTAAATTAACTTTAAACAAAGATTGTAATGGCCATATCGACTTAAGTTAATGGATTTGAGGGTAGATGAATATTATAAGAGTCTGGAACAGGGGTAAAGAATTCAAATGTTGTTTAGTCCCCGACTATTTAAAATTATGAAATGATCCCTTAATTATAATACATTATTGAGTCATCGAATATTAAAAGTTACAAAATGACCATTCAATTATTTTTATGTTTGGTCATTTTCAGTTAAAAAATTGATGATAGTCTAAATTGGATATTAACATGCCGACTGTGGTATGATAAAATCTGATACGGTAATAGGTTAGTGGGTGATATATAAACGTCTCACATCCAAAATTTATACCAATGAACAAAAGAAATATAATTAAAAAATAATGACATTTAAATTAAGTTATTTAAATATTTAGTAGTGGTTTTAATTAAGTGGTGGGTTATTTAGATGAAGTGAAAGAGAGGGAATTGCGGCAGCTATGAAGCTTGAGAATGAAGCTTTATTTGAGGCAAGAAAGAGACACCTTCCTTCATTAAGTTCCCATTCTCTGTCTCTCTATAAATATATAAATGCGCATGATTTAAGAGCAAGATAGCAAAAAGAGAAGGAAGGTTCATGATTGATCGAATTTGATTCTTCCTCAACAAGGATAATAGCATTTGATAAGGGGGAAAAAAACACATGGCTGTGTCTCCATGTTTAAGTGGTAATGATGAGAAGAAACACTGGTGGCTTACCAATAGAAAGGTAAAATACTTTGAAAGCCTTCAACTTTGATCATGTCTTCAAACCAAAGTTCCATTTTTTTATATAGAAAGAGTTCTATTTTTATGTAGCTTGTAGATAAGTACATTAAAGATGCAAAGTGCCTGGTTGCGACGCAAGGAGAAGACGAGATTGCTTCAGCTCTCAACCTTCTTGACTCGGCTTTGGCACTTATGCCTCGTCTCGAGACCGCTCTTGAACTCAAAGCCAGATATTTGCTGCATCTGAGGCGTTTTAGGGATGTTGTTTATATGCTTCAGGATTACATTCCGAGTTTGAAAATGTCAACCGACGACTCTGGCTCCGTTTCCTCTGATAACTCGTCTCAGCAGCTGTCGAGGGAGCGAGTCAAGCTTCTTCCTTCTAGTGACTCGTCCTCGGACTTATCTAGGACTGACCCGTCCTTCAAATGCTTCTCTGTTTCCTATTTGAAGAAGAAACTCATGGCCGGGTTGTGGAAGAATGGTGAGAAAGAAGGGAAGTGGAGGTATTTGGTGCTAGGCCAAGCATGTTTCCATATAGGCTTAATGGAGGACGCTATGGTTCTCCTCCAAACGGGGAAACGCCTGGCTTACGCCGCGTTCCGCCGTGAAAGCATTTGTTGGTCTGACGATAGCTTCTCCATCTCTGCTGCCGCCGCCGCCGCCACAATGCCTCCTTCCACCCCTCCACAGAACCCCACATCTCTCTCCGAATCAGAAAACATTTTCCAGCTTCTCTCCCACATCAAGCTCCTCATCCGCCGTAGAACCGCCGCCATTGCCGCCTTGGATGCCGGCATATACTCCGAAGCCATCCGCCATTTCTCCAAAATCGTAGACGGTCGCCGCCCTGCCCCGCAAGGGTTTCTCGCCGAGTGTTACATGCATCGAGCATACGCCTACAGGGCCTTGGGTCGCATAGCTGAGTCAATCTCCGATTGTAACAAAACCATCGCTCTTGACCCGACTTGCATCGAAGCGCTTGACACCAGAGCCTCCCTTTTGGAAACCATCCGCTGCTTACCGGACTCTTTACACGATTTCGAACACTTAAAACTGCTTTACAGTTCGATTTTGCGAGATCGAAAGCTTCCCGGCCCTGTCTGGAAGCGTCACAATGTGACGTACAAAGAGATTCAAGGGAAACAATGTGCCTTAACGAGTAAAATTCAACAATTGAAACGAATAATTGCTTCAGGGGAGACTGGAAACGTTGATTACCATGCATTGATCGGTTTAAGGCGTGGATGTTCAAGGTCTGAACTGGAGAGGGCTCATTTATTATTCTGTTTAAGACACAAACCCGATAAAGCTACCAGCTTTATCGATCGATGCGAGTTTGCCGATCACCGTGATCTCGACTTGGTTAAAGACCGAGCCAAGATGTCGGCTTTGGTCCTTTACAGATTGCTTCAAAAGAGTTATTCCAGCGTTATGTGTACGATTATGGAAGAAGAAGCAGCCGAGAAGAGAAGGAAGAAAGCTGCAATTCAAGTGAAGCAAACCCATTATTGTAAGTCTAAATCGGAAACTGAAACAAGTCTGGGTTCTTCAACAAGTTTGAGTGGGAGTGAAAACAAAAGCACCCCAATTAGCTCGAACACAAACGTGTTCCAAGGTGTGTTTTGCAGGGATCTTGCTGTAGTTGGGAACCTGTTGTCACAAGTGGGGTTCAATCGTCCACTTCAAGTCAAATATGAGGCACTCAGCAGCTGTTGATTGAGAAAGGGCAGAAGAAGAATCTCTGCTTCATTTTCTTTGCCAATTTTTAGTGTCTTCTGTCGAAAAATTGTCACCCACTTTTTCTCTTATGCTGTATCTACTACTAGTAGTATAGAAATAAATCTTCATTACTGAATTTTCATTCTTTCCAATAAAACCATTATTTTTTTATCTATAGATTGGAGCAAAATATTACTAGTGAATTTTACGGGGGAGAAGCCAACAGAGTTTTTGACTTGTATCTGTCTTATCTGGTTAGCATTTTTTTCCTCTGGTTTTGTTTATACACGGACTAACACTGTCTGACATTCCACTAGTATTTTATTTGCTAGTTCCGCACAATAGAATTGGACGGTGTCTGATCGAACACTAAATACAGGAAAAGGAAGGGATTTGGGATGGTTATGTGAATTCAAGCTAGAGCTTTGACATGGTTTTCGTTCTTTTCAGGTCTTACTAGGCAGTTGTTCATTCATCATTCAACCCACCTGCGACCATAATTGCGTACGTAATTAAAGGCGGATCAATTCGAATCCCACTAATCTCGGGTTTATGATTGGATTCTTTATTATGTACACATGCAAATGGATACGTAAACAAGTATAGTTTCACTCCATGCTCTCATTCTGTGTGAGAATGCAGCTATGGAGGCTGAGAGTTAGCAAATGAGGAAGGAGACGGTAAGAGGGAGAGATGACAGAAGAAGCTCTTTATTAAAAACAGTGGGAAATACTATGCCTACAATCTAATACAAAAGTATGGCTTATATAGCCCAAGTAACCAACATAACAAACTAATAACAAGCTAATAACAAACCATAACAAACTAATAACACTCTTAACATTCACTCTACTTTTCAACCTTTCAATTTTCTTCAAAAATGAACTTGATATTAGAGAGTTGATCAAACAAAGAATGCAAACTTAATAAGCTGGAATTCAACCGTTTTGCCGTCTTGATGAACAATTTACCGGACAAAATCTCTTTCACCTAAAAAACATCTTTCTTCAACTTTCCTCGGCTTTTTTTCTTATGCTTTTCAAGAATTATTTTTCATCTTCACTTATTGTGACTTTCTTTTTGTTGGAAGCAAGGCGGTTCAGCTACGAGCTACCGGATGCAATCTGAAGCATCTCTTGGGCAAGAAAACATCCTATTTTGTCTGGTTAAGGAAGGCAAGGCTGTTAAACACTTAACCCTCCCCAGAGATTTTCTATTGTAACTTGGCTGTTAAGCCTCAAAGTTCCATGTCAAACTTTGGAGAAGAAATAACAGTGAATGTAGAAACCAAAATGTCAATAGCTGAGCAAAGCAATGTTGAATCAATGTCCGACATTCAACATCAACTTACAAAGAATTTGTCCTCACACGATTCAGTCGAACACTGCCTAGAGTGTACTCTGGCAGTTCTGCCTCTTCGTTTGCCTCTATTAGTATTGCAAGATCTACTACTAAGCTTGTGACATATCCAAGGACAAGGCCAACAACACTTCTTGCTACTGATGATGATCCAATGCCCACGTCAATCTCTAGGAAATTGTCTTGCCTGAAATATTTGCACGAAACAGCTTTCCCAAGTAGGCATGCTTTTGTTCCAACTGCATGCTTGACCATCCAATACCCCTCAACAATGTTTGGTATCAATTTAAATCTTGAATCACGAAATGCATCTGTTCCATCCAAAAACTTTTCTAGCAAAGAATCGTTATTCACAAGCCGATCAACAGCATAGTAGAGGACCAAACTATAGTTCGGTTTTGCAGGAATCTCAAGATTAATCACAAGGACAAATGGAAGTTTGTTTCCCTGCTTCAGACTGAACTTGAGACTTTGGATGCAGTGCAATTTTATCTGTGGTTTTATCGACTTTGAACCAGTCAACATTTTGTTTCCAACCAGCAGTGTAACACATAACAGAACAATAATATCATTGAAGCATTTAGCCAAACACATTGGAGGCGCATATAACACAAAATTGCAATATACTCACCATACAAAGAACCAACAAGCATAGTATCTAGACTTCAATAAGAAATCCAAGCAGATAGAACCATGCCGTAACAAAATACCAACTTTCAAGAGCAGCAAGATAACAAAGTCAACATACTAAACTACAAAAGCACGAGAACTAACTAAACAAAGAAATGCCACTACGAAAATTCTTCATCGTTCCTCACCGCCAACTGAATATGCCTCAGAATTATTCTGTTCTTCTTGTTGTCCCTTGCCGCGTTTCCAGCCAATTCCAGAACCTCGACGGCGAGATATTTGAGTACGACAGAGAGATAAGCTGGAAAAACCAGATCCGACACACTGGGCGTATCGTCCTTTCTTAAGGAAACGAGCCACACGACCGACGGGGAACTGGAGTCCGGCTTTACTGGACCAAGAAACGACCTTCGACTTCGGCTTGCCTCGGCCTCCTTTGATAGTTTCTGCGGCGGAGCTCATGGTTTCAGATTTTGAGCGGAAGAGAATTTGTTGAACTTTGAAAACGAATTTTGATGGGAGATAAAAAATAACAGTAAAGGAACTCAATCGTTGGCGCAACGGCGGAAAGAGGAAAACGACGATAAAATCTTTTAACCAATGATACCATGTGAGAATACAACCGCGGAGGCTAAGAGTTAACAAATGAGGAAGGAGACGGTAAGAGAGAGATGACAGAAGAAGCTCTTTATTAAAAACAGTGGAAAATACTATGCTTACATTCTAATACAAAAGCATGGCTTATATAACTCAAGTAACCAACATAACAAACTAATAACAAGCTAATAACAAACCATAACAAATTAATAACACTCTTAACATTCTGCAAGTAAACTTTTCCCAATTATTTTTGCTTTTTCACGGGAATCAAACCAATAATAGTCTTATATGATACCAGCTGGAACAAAATCCGTATGTATTTAACGATTCAAGTGATAAGTAGCTTGATATCGCTTAAGAAATATCTCAGTTCGAGTCATTGTATATGCAGAAAATCTCCACTGATAGACTCACCTACCAAAGTCAGTTGCGACCCGGGTCGGTTCAGATTAACCATGACAAAAGCCTTGAACCGGAGGGGAACAAAAAAAAAAATATCAATCCAGACGTATAAAAGCATTCTGTTGATGTAACTTCAGCTCAAATTAGTTCACCTTTATATAACAAAAAATGTCACAAATTGTTTTACTCTCTTTACAAAAGCTTAAACGGCTTTCTCATTCCTTTCCTTGAAAAGTGAGTTTGTGCCCTGTTGCTCAAACGTTTTGCTTTCACTTGGTTCCATCTTTATGCTACTTTCAGCTGGAAAAGATCGTTTGCTCTTTGAGATACATCCATTTTTGCAGGGAATTCCTACGTTTAGACCGTTCTAGGTTTTTTGTTTTTAATTTATTTTATGGGGTTTAAGAAACTGTGAAGGAAAGGGTTTAAAATTGCCTATAGTGGTCTTGTTGAACTCATCATATACAAGGCAATTGAATTGACAAGTACTTTCTCCTCTCAATTTGTGTTTTATACTTCTCTTTTTCTTACTTCTTACTACAAACTAAGTCCATAATTTCATAATATCAACACTATATGAAAATTTATTATGTATTAATTTTCTAAATTCTAACTGTAGACACCAATTTTCGTCCAGGGCTTATTTAGTATATATAGTTTTTGAAAATAGTTTTGAAAAAAATATAATATATAGATTTTAGAAAACGGTTTTTGAAAATATATAATATATACTTTTTAAAAATCGGTTTTTGAAAATATATATATATAGTTTCGAAAACGATTTTTGAAATATATATTATATAGTTTTGAAAACGATTTTTGAAAATATATATTATATAGTCTTGAAAACAATATTTTGAAAAAATATATATATATATTATATAGTTTTAATTTTTTTTTTGAAAACATATTATATTATTATATGCTTGCATATTATATAGTTATATATCTCATTACATTATATATATTATATTAATATTATTTATTATTTATTTTCAGGTCCAATGAAGAGTTTGTTTGGGTCCAATGAAGCCTAATCGAGCCATGCCAGCTTGACCTAGCAAAGCAAGCCCAATAGATTAGGGTTTCGGGAACCCAAGCATTAGCGCTGCATAGTGGCTAACAACAGAAGGGTCACAAACGGCCTGAATCACCCCGACCGAGATTCTCGGCGTTCGAATCGGGATAGCCCGGGACTACACCATCCCGGGTTTTTAGCAACAACATCAGTCATCCTGATTAAATCGAGAGACGGGGTAAGACCCTCGATGTAAACGAAAAACAACCCCGACTGGGGCTATAAATGCTTCACCGGGGGCCCGAAAAGGGGGCATCACCAAAAA